ATGGTGGTGCGGTGGCAAAACCGGCAAAACCATTTTGCGGATTTGTAAGCTCAGGCCACCGCCGAATGGCTCCGTTGGGATTACCACGACACCCGAACCGTCCGGCGGTCAGGAGACCTGTAGTCGAACGCGGATGCTAATGCGGAGAGACAGTAATCGCGGCGCTGAGGCTGGAGAAAGCGACGTGCTAATAAGTTGGTTTTAAATCCGTGATGAAGAGCGATGTCTTGGAAGGTTCTGGACAACAGTCGGAAAGGTGGCTCGGTCTCGGATTCCCTCTCGCCCGAACCTGAGGAGCGAGCACTCCGATCCAACGACCATGCTGGACGAAAGAAGTTCTAAGATTCGGCATGATGCTTCGCTCTCACGATGGAGGCCCATGACGGGTTTCTCGTAGAAGACGAATCAACGAAGCTCGACGTTCGCGATACAATCTCCCCAACCTCCAAGATAGATAAAGTATCCCTTTCGAGCTGGTGCTCAAGTATATAGCCCAACCTTGACTCGGAAAGAGATTTGGCGCCCCGTTCAGAAAGCGAACCAACATTTCAAGAATGTCCCTCTCTATCGGTGTACGAAGACGGCGTTGAACATGATCATGTTGCACTATTGCAAGTCGTTGCAGGAAGAAGGGTTCACGGTTGCCGCATCTGATGCTGGATACTATGCGACAGATCTCAATGGTCGACGTGGAGCGAGAGATCCTAGAGAGGGCGCGAAGATGCTTATAGGTGCAGCGGTCGGCTCGAAAGATAAGGTCGCTGGGTGGTTGGTCGATGAGAATGGAATTGCGCCCTGGTGAAACGTTCGAGTTCTAAGCGTATTTCCTAACGATGAATCAAGCGTGAGCCAATAGCCAACCGCCATCTATGACCAAAGTAGAACCAGTACAGTAGCCATCTACGGAGAAAGATTAGCATATTGACGCGAGGAAGCCACGTGGCCAAGACTCACTTGTTGCAAAGTTCAGCACAGCCTGTGCATAGTCTCGTGAATGGCCCGCTCTACCAAATGGAACACCCCACTTGGTCCTGAAGTGCTCCTTCTGCTGGCCCTTGTCTTTCTCAATCGGCGTCATCTCCGAAGGGAAGTAGCCGGGAGCCAGTTGGTTGACACGGACTTCGAGATCAGGTCGCTTGAAATCCACAGCAAGCTGCTCGGTCAGAGATACGCACGCGGCCTTGGCAGCGTTGTAGCTGTACTGTCCGTTCTGCGACTCCTTGGTGATTCCCGAGATGGAGGAGATGTTCTGCGGACGAGTCAGTGATCCGTTGAGATAGACTGAGCTTCAAGATAGTATCGGCAGAACTTACCAGAATGGAGCCAGCTTCGGGGAAGCCGTGATCTCTCGCAGCGACCAGGAGAGGCAAGAAGGCGACAGAAGTGAAGTAGTAGCTCGCCACATCAATCTTGTAGACAGAAAGCCAGTCGTCGTAAGTTTGATTGTTGAACATGGCTTCGCTGACAGCTTTGACGTCTCCTTTTGGCATACCGTTGGGTCCCCAGTTTACGGAACTAATCCCGGCGTTGTCTGTTCGAATAGAGATGTTAGAAGGTGCGGTGGAGATGACGGTATTGAAATGCTACGTCGACTTACTGACAAGCAGATTGACGAACTTCTCCTTCTCGGAGATGGCCCTGACGCCTTGCTGGATGCTCTGCTTGTCTGTGCAATCCATCTGAAGGCCAACGATGGAGCCACCGCTGGCAGAATCCGTCATCTCGGCATCCTTGAGCTTTTCTGCCCGTCTGCCAGTCACGTAGACCTTGGCTCCATTTGCGGCGAGCGCTTTCGCGGTAATGAGACCAAGACCAGTTCCGCCTCCGGTCACGACAGTCACCCAACCTTTGAGGTTGAAGAGTGACTGTGCGGAAAGTTCACTGAGATCTGCCATGTTCGCCGCTACTGTGAGCATTATTGAACAGAGTATGGTGCAACTCCGAGCCTTTTATAAGACACGGCTACCTTTGGATACGTCGCCGGATAAATTCCTACCTGGCGGTACCGGCATCCGACGCGGCGGACGCTCATTCGATGATGATGATTCTGAAGGGCGACAGTCAACCTTATTGGCAACATTTTCGAGGTTATCGGTCTCAGCATCCAGGATATCTATGCAGGTGTGACCGTCAGACACTCGCAATCATCTCACAATATGCAGGATGTTGGCCGGCGAGTGAAAGACGGAAGGGAGGACGGGAACGGGATTCCCCGCCGATCTCGGATCTTCCCTGCACGTGATTTCTCCACTCCAACTCAACGCCGTGAGTTGAGTTCCGTCGCTTCTTCCGATCGTTTCGACAACAACTTTTTACAAACACTCACTGGCACGCAAGAACTCGGAAGTTATCTATCTGCGTCCACCAGATCATCTCTGCGGGATCATGTTACCTACGGAAAGGCAGAAGGATGATGGCTGGCGTGTCTGAGCTGGGCAATCCCAACCGGCGCATCGTTGGCCTGTCGCGTGCTTTGCTCCGCGCCGTTTTCGTGGAAGACTTTCCTGAAATCGGACATGGGGACCGTCCACACCTACCCCACGTACTACTACGTCCAGGTACACCTCCACCTGCTTGACCGACTATATCAAGACGTGTACACCATGGACAACAGCACTCTTTGGTAGGTCTGAACGTTGGTGAGCTCTCATTTCACATCATGGCAACAGGAAACCAGTCGTACATCATCGTCGGCGCCGGCGTCTTCGGCGTTTCAACAGCATACCATCTGATCAAGAAATACCCCAATGCTTCGATTACTCTGGTAGACCGCGATCAGTTCGACGCGGACAGTCGCGTTGCTGCCTCTTGGGATTGGAATAAGGTCGTCCGCGCCGACTACGACGACATTATCTACTGCCGACTCGGTCTAGAAGCACAAGATATCTTCAGGTCTGATCCCCTGTGGAAGCCGTACTTCCATGAGACCGGCATCTACTGGATATGTCGCAGCGACTATGCCCAGGAGGTCATTGACAACTACAAAAAGCTGGGTCGCAAGGCTGATCTAAAGGCCGTGCCCATCGAGGAAGCAAGGACGATGTACGGTGGACTCTTTGATGAGGCGGACTATACCGATGTGAAGGAAGTCCTGGTCAATCAGACTAGTGGCTGGGCTGCCGCAGGCGACTGCCTGATCGCCATTACTCGCGAGGCCTTGAGGCTTGGTGTCAAGTATGCCACCGCAGAAGTCAATAACCTGCTCTTCGACTCCACGGGACATTGCAATGGACTACAAACAACATCAGGCAAGACACTCCGAGCTTCGCATGTAATCCTCTGCACTGGAGCATACACGCCGAAGTTACTGGCTATGAGTGCCGAGCAGACTGGCAATGAGGATCTGTCATCTGGCTCCAGGATCTTGGCCGCCGGAATCACCACAGGAATGACCAAGCTCGACGACAAGACGTACCAGACATTTGCCCAGATGCCGGTTGGTGTTCAAGGGTACACTCCAGCGACGGGTCCTTTCATTGGCAGTCTACCTCCAACTAAAGACAGGGAGCTCAAGTGGTGGGGACAAACGATATTCAGTAATACACGAGAAGTCATGCCTGGCCGCTTCTTCTCTGCGCCGCCTTCGGAACCCGATTACGCCCAATGGAATGTATCAAAGAGACTCAAGAAAGACATTGATCACGCGAACGACGTCTTCTATGGAAAGAAGGGCGCAGATTGGAAGATTGAAAAGTACAGAATCTGCTGGTAAGGACTAACAGATGTTCGAAAGGTAGCTGAGCTAATCGCGTACAGGGATGCTTTCACCACCAGTGCCGACTTCATCATTTCGCCTCATTCCGCGGCGAAGGGCCTCTACGTTGCAACTTGTGGCAATTTCCACGGCTGGAAGTTCTTCCCGGTCATTGGAAAGTACATTGTGCAGATGTTGGAGGGCTCGCTCTCATCAGAGCTGTCCGAGAAGTGGGCATGGGACCGACACCGACCAGACCCGTCACAGAACCCGGACTGGCCGCGAGCTGAAATGAACAATCTTCTAGATACACGGCCGAGATTGTAAAGGGCCTGCAATAATCCAGACATCATTTCGGAGGTGTTCCAGGGCGAGTGGTAAAGAGTTTTGAGGGACGGCGATACCGTTTGCTGCATAATACATACAGATGAAGTTCACCTTCGACACGTCTTACAAGCCTTCTCTTACCAACAGACGCACGGAGTGCTGCTTTCCGCATTCGCCGCAAACCGACGTAGCAATTACATACTGCTGTCACTGCTGTCCGTCGTCTCGTTGATGGCGCCGCATCTACCAGAGGAGCTGTGGGCAGGTCGCGTAGGCCTATATGGTATTCAAGGTAAGCCAGGACGTCGAAGGAACGGAATAGGGCTTTCACCCTCGATCGATACTCACAGTGTACATGGTAGCATTGAAGTACTTGCACAAAGCAGTGACGTTGCCCTGGAAGAAACCCAGGTCCTGCATCGAGCAGGTCGGAGGCTGACCAGTGGCCTGGCCGCCGAGCATCCATGGCGCAATGATCTACACCACAACCTCATCGGCCTTTTGGACCATTCCGATTCTGTCTCTCTCCCCTCTCGACTCACGTCGTCAATACTCTTGGTGCGCTGGCAATAGCCGTAGAAATCATCCTTGTGGCATCTGTCGGCCGGGTAGATGGCTTTGTTCTCGCAGCCCACGGCGCACACTGCACGTTGGTGGGTGTCGATCCACTCGTCCGGGGTCATGCACTTAAGTGTACTTTTTCGTCTTCGTTCATGCGCTCGACGAGGACGCCGGCGGAGGCGATGGGAGGCGATGGAGAGGATGTTGATGAGTTTCATTTTGGGTTTTTGAACAGGTTGGGTTTGCGTTTGGGGGGTTTGAAGGAGTGACTTTTTGGTAAAGGGGAACGGGCAAAAAGCGTTGGTAGATTTGGAGAAGAAAAGGTCGTTTGGTTTGTTTTGTTTGCTTGCAAGAGTGTGTGTATCGAGGAAAAGATGGAGGCCAGGCAAGGCAGAGAGCAGCGTCGTTGTTATTATTATGGAGGAGGGGATGATCCGGTGGTCTGGCTTCGCCGCAGGGCCGTCTCCCTCTGATGACCGTGCCGAACAACGATAGTCTAACGGTATCATGGAAGCGGCGCGACTAGTAGGTAGGATAGTTGCCGCTTAATACCTTGTAGTCACGACTGATCGGAAGTAATAGGCAACAGCATCTCTTATGGAATGGTTGTTGTGAGGATTCCCGTCAGGAGGCAGTTGGAGTACGGGGTAGCTTATTGTGGACATCCAGACTGCCGTTGACTTTATACGTCCGGCTCTCGCTTGCTGATGGATTATAGTGTCCGAGGCATTGGACGAGGAGGCGACAACTCGCCCGTCTGCTCCAGCGCACGCCTCGCAATGAGATATTGCTGCTCTTCAGGCGCACACTTCGGATTATCCGGCTGGAACAGATCCACCGTCTCGTACACAATCTCCAAGCCCATGGATCGCAGGAATTCCCTCTGGCCTTCGAGACTCAGCATGAGTGTGGGGAATGGCCGGCCCATGAACGGCGCATCGTACGCCTCCACATACGATTTCGTCTCGTCATACGCCGCCTCGTCTGCGACATATCCGTCGCTCGGCATCTGGCCGAGAACAAACAATCCACCAGGCTCCAGCGCATTCGCGAAGCGATATGCCGCGCTGTGGAAATCCGAATAGGGGAGCATCAGCTGGGAGAAGAGGACGAAGACGGCCGAGAATGTGCCCTGGGGCTGGTATTCGAGCATGTCGGCGACGAGGAACGTTCCACGGAATCTCCGTCGCGTGTGTTCTACCATTTTGGGGGAGATGTCCAGGCCCACGACTTGGAAGTGCTCGTGGAGGAGTTCCGTTACCGGTGAGCCGGTTCCGCAGCCAATGTCCAGTGCCATCGAACCTGGTGGCATCAGCGACATTGCTTTCTTCACGACTGCGATTTTGGAGGGGCAGGTCTTGTACGCGTGCTCGTATTCGATTTCTAGGGCATCGAACAGTTCGAGACTGGCTAATGATTCAGCTGTCGCCATTTTTTGGTCGTCCAGTAGCCTGAATATTTGCTTGTTATTGTGTGGTTCCCTTTTAGCTGCCACTCTTTCGAGCGTATCGTGGAATCGGAAAACTTTCCGTGCGAATTGGAGACGGAGCGCTGGGGCGGGAGTCTTCTGGTGAAAGTTCTTCTGATAAGCCTGCGGTGTCGGGGTAGCTGATCAGCAAGTGGGGAGGGCTGTCGTACAACATCCATGATGTCTGGCAGGACTAGCGCTACTGAGTCCTGCTCTCGAACGGGGCATAGAGCATCCCAACCTGTACATCTGTCTCTGACACAGCTTTTCCAGTAGTTTTCATAACCAACATCCTCTCGGACATCATTTCTTGATCGTCCACTCATCCAGACACCTGGAAGCGATCTCCCAACGATCCTAACATCTCAACGGCCGTACGCCTGCCTTGGAAAGTCATCCCACTCCTGCTCGAACTTCCATGCGGCCTTTCCACACCATAGAGGCCCCGCTCGTCGCTTGCCATCGAACTGGACAGGCTCAGGGAAGAGGTTATAAAAGACGCCGCGCACCTGCTGCTCCCTGTAGAATTCAATGTCCCCGAAGCAGCCTTTCCCAAACCGAAGACCTTTGCCACTCGCCTCGCAATCTTTGGCACGCCAGCCAAAGCTCAGCGGCACACCCCAAGCAGTACTGTCAATCTTGACGACGCCAGACTTCCACGCGAGCTCGAAGCCACTCCAGATACGATTCCCGTCCTGATCGACGCACACGAAAAGCCTGAATTTGTCCGCATGATCCGGTGCCTGTTCGGCAAGTAATGGACAAGAGATGTTGTACACACCGGTAACGTACTTCTGACTCTGAGATTCGTCAAAGCCTGGCTGCTCCTCCATGTATTGCTCTTGGCTTTGATCAAAGTCATTTCTGGGCTCCGGCTTGACCTTGGGTTCCGACTTGACCTTGGGCTCTGGCTTGACCGTGGGCTCCGGTCTGACGATAGGCTCATTCTTGACCTTCGGCTCCTTCTTGACAGCCTTTTTCTTGATGGTCTCACTCTTGGTGGCTTCTTTCTTGATAGAATCCTTGACAGTTTGCTTTCTAGGTGTCTTGGCTTTAGCCTCGCTCAGATCTCCCAAATCCTGATAGAAGGGCGGCATTGCACCTGCTGAGTGATCTCGAGTGTCGCCAATCTGAGTCAGATTCGCGCTTTTCTTCGGCTTCGGTGTCGACGCTTTCGCTTTCTTCTCTCCGGTCGCCTTTGGTGCCTTTTCCTTGGACTCAGTTACTTTCGCTTTGCCAGCTGTCGGCTTCTTAGCCGAAGACGTGCCAGACTGATCAATATCAATCGACACATCGCCAACCCTGACTGAAATCTTGGTCTTCTTCACACTCTGCTCGACGTCGTCTTCCCGAGCCCGCTTCTTTCCCGCAGACGGTGTCGACTGGGCCTTGGCTTTGCGAACAGCAGCAGCATACTCCTTCTTCATCGCCGCTTCCATATCGACGAGGTGCTGCGGAGGTGCCTTGAGTTTCTTCCGGTTGAGCGCTTCATGGAGACGTAATTTTGCCGTGTTCTTCTCCTTGCTTCGCTGGAGACCGTAATGGATGAGTTGCGCTTCGTACCAGTGAGCGGTCTTGTCCTTCTGGCCGGTACTCGCATTTAGTGCCTGCTTGATTTCGGTCTCAGGGGCTCGAGCATGTCGCTTGAGTTCTCCACCGACGTCGACGAGGAGTACGTCTCTATAGAGGAATTCTCCTCGCACGACTGGCGGCACTGAGACATCCATTTCGTCTTTGAGTTGTGGGTGTAGCAGTCGTAGAGTTCGAGGTCAGTTCCGGACATCGCGAATGGAAGTGGGTGTGCGAGTGGGTGGTCCGAGCTCGACAAGGTGCCGGGGCTACCAGGTTCCTGGGTATTCATGCGATGGACTTCATGGCAGCTTCCATTGAAGAGGTGGTGTCATTTTCTAACAAACTGAAGGAAGGGTCTAGATGCGATTTTTCTTGCGACCAGAAATGTGTCAAAGGCGACATATAAATAAGGGGAAGCATGTAAGTGAATGACTTCGCCACACGGAAGTCAATCAAGTCTCGAGTCTAGTATACCTATTTCCCGTCTAATATCATGCATACAGGTCCGCCAATACACTATTTTGTATCACTTGTACATGAATGTAATCGTTCAGAATTCAAATACGCCACATTATCAGAAGTTCGTGCCCGTAAAGGCAGACTGAACGCTTCCAAAGCCTTGGGGACACTGCCGTCCCAGCGGCACGCTTCCACTGCGCATGTAGCAAATCTTCGCAGTTGTGCATGCTATGCTGGTGCAGTTCGGACTCTTCACACTGCTCTTCCCCTGCAGCGTATTGAACCGCGAGGCAAGACTACGATCCTTCTCCATCGCTTGAGTGACCGAGTGCCAAAAGGTGGCATTCAACGGAGCAGTCGTTGGCCAGTTTGCTGCTGGGCCGTAGGTGTCACGGGTAGAGTATTCAAACTCGTATACTGGTCCGTGGGTTGTCAGATTGCGGAAGCCATTGACGTCGGCATACCAAGTGTAGGCATCATAGATATCAAAGGATCCAGTATCGACTTCGTACATGCGGAAACCGCTGTTCAGATTCGTCAAGGGAGTCACACTAGGCCCGATCCAGCCTGTGTTGAGAGCATTGCCAAGTGACTGGTTGGTGCCGTTATTGGCGTAGTAGATCATGACCTGATCCTCGTGTGTATGGCCGAAGAAGACATTGGCAATGACGTGCGGAGAGTACCGATCGACAATCTGGTAGAATAGATTCGTGGGATTTGGCACGGGGTTGGTACCATCCCAGCCAGGAAGCACGTGGGCGAACAACCAAACCCGTTCGCCGGCATCTTCAGCCGCTTGGAGCTCGTCGATGACAAACTTGAATGTTCCGCTCACGTCGGGGTTGCTGGTGTTGATGAAGTTCAGGAAGTTGCTCTTGTACCAGAAGTCGCTGTTGAAGGTGATCATGCGAAGGCCGTAGTGGTTCTTGATGCTATAGGCACCGTAGTGGAGTCGAGCTTCACTTGCAGCGGCTTCGTCAATCCAGCCCTCATGCTTCCAGAGGCTGGAAACATGCTCGGTGTTCCAGCTCATCTGCTGTCCCAATGGACCTGGGAGGGAGTGTGGTGCGTTGATCGCTTCTGGATTCGTGTCATGGTTACCCAAGACAGGGAATACTGGGCCGGTCTACGAAAAGCTCTTAGCACTCATCCTCTACTAAAATCGCACCTCCTGACACGCACCAAATACTTTTTGAACATGTAGTTGAAGATGGAGGTCTCGGCATACTCCACGTACGCTCGGCTCAGCTCAGTCTGCGGGTCGTGAGAAACCAAGTCGCCAGTGTAAATCGTCCACGCAAGGGGGTTGTCCGCAGAAGTCCCAGTCAGAGGCCCTACTGCTTGCAAGGCCGCCAGACCAAGATCGTACGGGGTATCACAGGCAAAATAGCCATAAAGAGGAGCCGGGTAGCTTATGGAACCATTGAAGCTGGGGTTGAGGTTCCCATGCCGACAGCAGAGGCCTGATGTACAGTTGCCCTCAGCACCGACCTCGTATCTAGGATCAAGGTGGAAGTCTGACATGTGAAGGACCTTGACCTTCTCCCCGCTTGCTTTGGGAGCGGTGGCGTTCTTTGGCTTCGGCTTTGGGAACAAGCTGGTGGTATTCAATTGCGTAGCATTTGGAGAGGGACAGAAAGTACTCGAGATGGAGTTGCAGATGTACTGTCCGTCAGGTCCAGTGAGGTCCGCAAACGCCAAAATCTGGGTCCAGATGGCACCAAAGGTGGTCGCTTGGAAGTCCTCCTCACAGGTGGAGGATGAATGAAGCTTCGTCTCATTGCATAGTTGAACCATGGCAGCAGGGACCATGCTAGGGGCCAGCTGCGCGGCATGCTTGGCCACCTGGAGTGCAGCAACGCACCTGGAACAGTTGCTGGTGAAGTAGGAGCTGTTTATCACGCCTCTGACTTGAGTCAAGGTGCTGGCAATGATGGCTTGCTGATCGGTGCTCGAGAGGTTGGCGATGGGCTTGGGATAGTATACAGGGTCGTCATCGTCATCAGGAATGGTGTCTGGATTGGTCAAGTTCTTGGGATAAGTGATGTTCAGGATAGGATCTGTTTTCACATGTCAGCCAAGAAAGACATCGACCGGCTAAGCTTGCCCACACAGACCGAACAATGCAGGTTGTGGTTCCTGCCCGCTTGGCACCGGATAGTAGGAGGGGAATGCAGAAGTGGGAAAGCCAGATGGCGCTACGTAGGAAGAGGCGCCGGGCACTGTGACTGAGGCAGCAGCACCTCCATAGCTCGTCTGAGCTGCTCCCAATTGCACAAGGAGCGGCGCAACGGCTAGCGCTGGACGAAGAGACAACATGATGGCAAGGAAGAAGGGTACGAAGCTGACCTCGCGGGAGCCTGGAGCCATCGGTCGGGCCCCTCTCGACCTTTTAACAGTCCGAAGGCTCGCGTTGCCTCCGTGCACCTCTTCGCAAGTCCCATCTCAACTCGTGCAAGCCTGAAGCCTTGGCGTCATTGTACCTGGCATTCATGCGCCATGTCGATGATATAGGTAGCGGCCAATGGAATGTCCATCAAGGTTGCACGTGGTTTGACACGCGTGCGAGCCATTCGACGAGATCTGTTAATCGAATATTCATTGGGATATGGACAGACTAGATCAAGTGGGGTTAGCTCCCGTCGGAGACGCGGCTCGCTTCTCCAGGTCACTGAGATGTGAGTAGATTAGATCAAATGAGGTTAGCTCCCGTCGGAGACGCGGCTCGCTTCTCCAGATCATTGACTCCTTCGCAATTGCTGGTCGAGCTTCATTCTTCTGACCTGCTCCACTGTCAAGAAATTCCTCGTCGTAGCTCTCAAGATGGGCGGACCGAATCTGGAGGTGTTCAAGGTTGGTAGTGCATGCACATTGGCGGAGAAGAATGCATTGAAACTGACTGCGAACCAGTTCGGCATGTACATCATGTTTCCGATCGGCTTCATGTACTACTTCGGCATCAATCTGGACGAGAGATTTGCGGTACCAGACTTCTGGCCAAAGAAAGGACAGACTCATGAAATACCCTTTGAGAAGGATGATATTGCAGAAGAGCTGGAGAGACTGAAGCGGAAGCGGTTGGCCGCACGAGCACGGAGGATGGCAGCAGAGGAGCAAGGACTGAGCACAGAAGTCACGATGCATCAGGATGAGGAGAGAGCACATCCGAGACCAGATATACTGGAGGCGACCAAGGTGGTTTCTCAGGATCGAAATGGCTCGTCCCGATCTAAGGGCTGGATGGACTGGCTCAAACCAGGAGATGCACGATAGCTTCTTCTTGGACCAAGAATGAATCTCCGCTCTCCCAACAATCGCCCAAGGATACCACTGCTGTATTGATTCATCACTCTAGCCATTGAGCTGCTTTACTGCTCGCCAAGACGGAGACGTGGAGCTACCAAAGGATGCTCGCAGAGTGCCTTGATAAGCATGTGAATGTCTGCCTTGCCGATCCGCTCTGGCCACTGATTCACGAGCCCTTGTACTGGAAGACATCCTGTATTCCTACAACTCTGGTATCCGAAGTGATCGCGCCCTTCCATGGCCTCGAATAGCCAGCTAGCGTCATGGCGACGCCATGTACCGTGACGCTCTGTCACATCGAAGCGATCGCCGCCAACCTTTCGAATATCGTAAATGACCCCGTGAGGCCTTAGGTTGTGCTCCTCGCAGCTGAACTCAGGCAGGCCGGCGCAATCCAGGGCGAAGCTGAGGTTTCGAAGGTTGGACCAGCAGTCATCGCTCGATGCCTCTATAAATTGCCGAAATCTTTCGATCTCCACTCGCTCGACGGTAATCAGTAACGCACGGCTTCTCAGGTACACCGAACCAGCTTCGACTCGTAGTTGCCGGCAGGTTTTTACTAGCCCTGGTTGTTCTCTTAGAAATCTCCTGAAGACCGTATGATGATCCGATCTTGGCTCGATAATTACTTCGAAAATATTGTCCCTCAGCTCGGCTGGTAATGCGAGTAGTTTTGGGATCTCCAGCGACGGCATTGTAGACATGGGCTTAGGAGCAATTGGCTGGGAGATGAGCAAGAAGGCACGAATCTTCGCGGATAGGAGGGCGACGACCTATGCCGGTATTCTCGCGCGTGACGACGGCAGAGCAAGGCAAACATGAAGGTTGAGAGCGGGTGTGACGGGGATCATGGTCCATCAGTTGGTCACGAGTTTTCAGGGTGAGTCGGGACTTGGACGTTGTAACCAGATTACAAGCCAACATGGCAGGAGGCAGCAGTCTGATTACGGTAAAGCTTTGCTTCCAATCAATAGCAATAATGCGAGTGGTATTTGGAGGATGATGAGTGAAGATTGTTCTCAATTCTAGTCTCCTTGTCACATGCTCGGCATGAGCTCGTTCTCGCACCCCGGTCGTGTTTTGGATCGCGAAAAATCCAACCTCGGCCCACGACACGACTTTGTGTTTTTGGTACGCTGCCTGTGAGGGCGCCAACACCATCGCTCTCGTACCCAGCGCAAACGAATGTTCACATTCACGGCGTAAGTTGCCCCGGAAGTCTCATGCATGCGCCGCATGGGAATGCGATACAAGAAGCCGCCATCCGACCCAGAAACGCGTTCTTCCCGGCCCTCTCATCGTCCACACGCGTAAACGGGGGATCGGCGCTCTTGTTCTTTGCCGGTTGTTTCCTTGAACTTTCCTCTCCTACATATCTTCACTCTTTGGAAACGCTGCTTGATGTCAGCCGCAACTCGACTACCCGTTGTGGGTGGCACTCTCGTCGCTGCCGGAGCGGTGATCGCAGCCTGGCGACATCCGGCCGTCCAGGAGTTCATTGAGCAACGACTTGGGTCTTCGGCCAGCTCCATCATGCTCAAGGCATTGATAGCCGGAGTAGCTCTAATCAACCTCAAGAATATACCTGGTTTCTGGCATGTACGTTGATTGCCCTTAGGACAGATCCCGTATTCCTGGAAGAGTGCTGACATGGGACTACCAGATTCGCGTACTACGGGGCATCATCTATCAGATCTACTTCCAGCGCAACAAAATCCCCCCGAAGCATCTCTTCGCACCCATGATAACGCAATCGTACAACACGCCCTACGACACCGACTACAATTTCCACAAATCGAACTCGACGTATTTCGCCGATCTCGATGTTTCAAGAGCGCATTTCATGGGAGCTATCATCCGAACAGGTCTTGCAAGATTGAACGCAGGAGATCAAGAGGGGCTCCCCAAGTCCACGATCGAAGTCAAGGGAAGATACGTGGTAGCGCTGGGCGCAGTGAGCTGTTTCTTCCAGAGACAGATCGAGCCCTTGGAGAGCTTTGAGATATACACCAGAGTCTTGACATGGGATCGCAAATGGCTGTATACAGTCTCGCATATCATACGCAAGGGAGCGATCAGGCCGGATTCGTATGTGCTCCAGCCGTGGAAGGACAAGAAACGGCGAGAAGCAGCAAGGAAGCAGGAAGAGGATCTGACGAAGCATATCTTCGCGACGAGTGTGGCGCGATATGTCTTCAAGAAAGCCCGGCTTACACTCAATCCCGAGATTGTGCTGGAACGGTCGAGATTGCTGCCTGCGAGGCCTTCAGGAGTCGGATACCCCCCTCGTGCGGAGGAGTCGGCTTCCAGCACGCCCGCGGTCTTCACGCCGGGAACGCCGCAAGGCAATGGCAAGATTTCGACGGATGCGAACGATCTGGGTTCGAGGTTGGCGAACGTAGACAAGAGCGCAAGCACTGCAGACGAGGAATGGACGTGGGAGGACATGGAGACTGAGCGTCTTCGTGGCCTCGAGATCGCGAAACATTTCGACGCTCTAGGAGCAGCTCATGGAGAGTTGAGAGGCGGCGATGTCCTGGGCAAGTTTGGGGACTATTGGTGATGAATGAATTCACCAGACCGGGGGAAGTGTTGCCGTAAACATCTGGCAGCAATTTCAGTACATACTCTATTAGTTAGAGACTTTAGCAAAGACCAACCCACCGTCGAACATTCTGTTAAACACGAGAGCATTTCCGCCATGCGATGCCGTGATTAGCCTGGGTGAACGTTGAGCCGCAAGACTTCCGCCCCGGACGTCAGTGCACAGTGCGACAGTGGCTTGAGTGGTGGTTGACTTACGCCGCAGGACCCTGTCCGTGGTCTGCCCCAGTCGTTGGAACGCAGTCGAACTTGCATGAATCGCACCAGGCACGGGCTCCTCAGACACGCGATCCCAATCGTTGGGTCGTCTCTGTTCTGATACTTGTTGACGTGGCACAAGCAAGAGAAACACTCGCCCGCCACCAGACACCACTCAAGCAAAACAATACGAACGTCGCGAGCCACACCGCCGTCGCCCGCCGATCGAATCAAGCTTTACTCGCATTTGCCCGTCAAGATCTGAAGATCATCGCAGGACGTCTCGGCGGCTCCGCCGTCATTGCGCCTACACAGAAATCACTGCGCGTGCGACGGGCGCGAGTGATGATTCGGTACAGCGGACATGGCGGAGGATAATCCAGAGCTGCAGGCGCGGCTGGCGCAGCTGGACCATGAATTGGAAGAAGGCGATATCACGAAGAAGGGGTACGAGAAGAGACGAACGATGATCCTGTCGCAATATTTGTCCAGAGAGCAGCTGGAACATGCGGGCGTCAATGTGAATGACGGGCAGAGTCTCTACTCGGCAGAAGGCGGCGGGCATGCGAGGGTGAGTAGCTCTGGGAGTATACCGGCCGGTCCCTTCACGCAAGACTACAGCTCTTCTGCTGAAGGACCGTACAGCCCATACGGAGGGGTTGGCGCACCTCCGCCTGCGTTAACACCTGGATACGATGCGGGACCACCGAGTCAAGTCGCGCGCTTTCAAGAGCAGCAGTTGGGCTTCAGACCGCAGCAGAGGCAGCCTTCTGTGGGAGGGCTACGACCAGATGAGGGCCCGAGCAGACCTGGTAGTCGAGGAAGCCGGTACAGTTCGAATCAGGGCACGATGGTCAGCACAGACTATGCCTTCAACCCCGACATGAAAGGTGGATTTAGCGATGCAGGCAGCAGGAGGAGCACCATGATGCTGGATCAGCAAGGATACTTCTCCGATTTCACGGGACAACAGATGGAGGACCAGCGGCCACGCGAGAGCTATGGAGGGCCGCAACGCTATAGCATGGGGGAGGCTTTCTCGCCAACCGCAATGATTCCTCCCCCACTCATGGGCGACGATATCTCGGTTGCCCCTGTTCATCAGCTACCTCTGGAACCTCGAGATGTGCCTTTTGCGGTATATGACCCGCACAACAACAACATTCCGATGTCCAAATTCGATAATATAGGTGCAGTCCTTCGTCATCGAGGGAAGATGCAAGCACGGCAGCCGGCCTACTGGGTTTTGGATCCCAAAGGAAAGGAGACAGCTTCGATTACCTGGGACAAGCTCACGTCGCGAGCTGAGAAGGTCGCACAGGTCATTCGTGACAAGTCGAATCTGTATCGAGGCGATCGCGTGGCACTGGTGTATCGAGATACAGAGGTGATCGAGTTCGCAATCGCACTACTGGGCTGCTTTATCGCTGGCGTTGTTGCAGTTCCGATCAACAATGTGAACGACTACCAAAAGCTGTCCCTACTTCTTACTACCACTCAAGCGCATTTGGCGCTCACGACAGACAACAATCTTAAGGCCTTCTCGCGTGATATCTCGAACCAAAGATTAAAGTGGCCTACAGGAGTGGAGTGGTGGAAGACAAACGAGTTCGGATCGTATCATCCTAAGAAGAAGGATGCGGAGGCTCCCTTACAAGTACCCGATCTAGCCTACATCGAGTTCTCACGAGCGCCGACAGGCGACTTGCGAGGCGTGGTCTTGTCGCATAGAACGATTATGCACCAGATGGCTTGTCTGTCGGCAATGGTGTCGACAATACCGGCATCTGAGAACGTAGACACATTCAACTCGACACTGCGCGCATCAGATGGACAGTATGTTGTCCCTCGGATGGGCCGCAATGAGGTTATAATGTCGTATTTGGACCCTAGAGAAAGCTGCGGATTGATTCTGGGAGTGCTGCTGGGTGTCTATGGTGGGCATACAACCGTGTGGTTCGAAAGCAAGACCGTCGACACACCTGGAATGTACGCGCACCTCATTTCAAAGTACCGAGCAACTTTCATGGTTGCAGACTATCCGGGACTCAAACGGGCTGCGTACAATTATCAGCAGGATCCAATGGCGACGCGGAACTTTAAGAAGAACATGGAGCCTAATTTCTCGTGTGTGAAGCTCTGTCTTATCGACTCCTTGACGGTCGACGCAGAATTTCACGAGATCTTGGCGGATCGCTGGCTCAAGCCTATGCGCAATCCAAGAGCAAGAGAGCTGGTGGCCCCGATGCTCTCATTACCTGAACATGGTGGCATGATTATCTCCGTTCGCGATTGGCTTGGGGGCGAAGAGCGCATGGGATGTCCATTGACCATCCAGTATCAAGACGGCGAGGACAGCGACGAAGCGCCTAGCAGCCCAACTACAGCAAACGGATATACCAGCTTGCTTGACGGCTCCAATAGTGAGAAGAAGATGAAAACTCGAAAGCGGAGTCGAAACGAGACCAGCGAAGTTCTTTTGGACAAAGAGAGCTTGAAGACTAATGAGGTGGTTATCATCGCTATTGGCGATGATGCTCGCAAACGGGCGAACGAGCCGGGTACTGTTCGCGCAGGCGCGTTCGGATATCCCATACCAGACGCGACTCTTGCGATCGTAGATCCAGAGACAAACCTACTTTGTGCGCCGTTCACTGTTGGCGAGATCTGGGTTGATTCCCCATCCCTATCAGGCGGCTTCTGGGCACTGCCAAAACACACCGAGACCATCTTCCACGCGAGACCTTATCGATTCGTCGAGGGCAGTCCCACACCTGTGCTTGTCGAGCCAGAGTTCCTTCGGACTGGTCTTTTGGGCTGCGTCATTGAGGGCAAGGTCTTCGTTCTGGGTCTCTACGAAGATCGGATACGACAGAGAGTGGAGTGGGTCGAGCATGGCGCGTATGAAGTTGAGCATCGTTACTTCTTCGTGCAGCATCTGGTTGCGAGTGTCATGAAGACGGTGCCGAAGATCTACGACTGTTCGGCTTTCGATGCCCATGTGAACGGCGAGTACCTGCCAATCATCCTTATTGAGACGCAGGCCGCGAGCACGGCACCCACGACTACCGGAGGGCCACCGCGGCAGCTGGACATTCCCTTCCTGGATTCGCTTAGCGAGCGGGTGATGGAGGTCCTGTATCAGGAACACCACTTACGAGTTTACTGTGTTATGATGACAGCGCCCAATACATTACCTCGCGTGGTCAAGAATGGACGCAGAGAGATCGGAAATATGCTTTGTCGTAAGGAATTCGACAACGGCAATCTTCCGTGCGTGCACGTCAAATTTGGGGTCGAGCGCGCTGTGCAGAATCTGCCACTCGGCGATGACCCTGCTGGCGGCATCTGGTCACCGTTGTCCAGTCAGATCCGGCAAGATATGCTTGCCATGCACTCGGACAAGCAGTACTCTGGCGTCGATCACAGAGAGGTTGTTATAGACGACAGGACCAGTACTCCGCTGAACCAGTTCAGCAATATTCATGACCTGATGCAATGGCGAGTGTCGCGACAGGCAGACGAACTCTCGTATTGCACCATTGATGGCAGAGGTAGAGAAGGCAAGGGCGTGACCTGGAAGAAATTCGACTTGAAGGTAGCTGCTGTGGCAACTTACCTGAAGAACAAGGTCAAGGTGCAACCTGGCGATCACCTTCTGATGATGTACACGCATTCTGAAGACTTCGTGTGGGCCACACACGCTTGCATCTGCTTGGGTGCCATCTGTGTGCCCATGGCGCCGATCGACTCAAACCGGCTGAACGAGGACGTTCCGGCATTACTGACCATGATTGCCGACTTCAGGATCAAGGCGATATTGGTCAATGCTGAGGTTGACACTCTACTCAAGCAGAAGGCGGTGAATCAGCACATGAAGCAGACTGCGCTCATTCTGAAGGTCAACATTCCATCTACTTATAACACCACAAAGCCGCCCAAACAGTCGCATGGCTGCAGGGAATTGGGTCTTACGATTCGCCCAGCATGGATTGCGCCTGGATACCCGGTGGTGATCTGGACGTACTGGACGCCTGATCAGCGGCGCATTGCTGTACAGCTTGGACATAACACTCTGATGGCGCTATGCAAGGTCCAAAAGGAAACCTGCCAAATGACTTCGACAAGACCTGTACTGGGTTGTGTGAGAAGTACAATGGGCCTTGGATTCCTCCACACCTGCCTGATGGGAATTTTCCTCGCCACACCCACATATCTCGTCTCGCCTGTGGACTTTGCTGGCAATCCGAATGTGCTCTTCACGACATTGGCGAGGTACAAGATCAAGGATACCTACGCAACGAGCCAGATGTTAGATCACGCAATGGCGCATTCAGCTGGCAAAGGCGTGCATTTGCACGAATTGAAGAATCTGATGATCGCTACGGAGCAGCGACCGAAGGCAGACGTGTACCCACGAGTCCGCCAAGCATTTGCGCAGTCAGCACTCGATGGGACGGCGATCAACACCATCTACAGCCACGTCCTGAATCCGATGGTGGCAAGCAGAAGTTACATGTGCATCGAGCCGATCGAGCTGTACCTGGAGCCGACTGCCCTTCGAAGGGGCCTGATCGTACCGGTAGATCCTGATCAGGAGCCATTCGCTTTGCAGGTGCAGGACTCGGGAATGGTGCCTGTCAGCACACAGATCAGCATTGTCAACCCCGAGACAAACAGATTGTGTCTTGTCGGCGAGTATGGTGAGGTTTGGGTACAGTCGGAGGCCAATGCCCACTCGTTCTACGGTTCCAAGGATGCGTTCGATGCCGAACGATTCAACGGACGGACAGTTGACGGCGATCCGGCAGTACAGTACGTACGAACAGGAGACCTTGGATTCCTACACAGTGTCAGTAGGCCTATCGGACCCGGTGGCAACATGGTGGAGATGCAGGTACTGTTTGTGCTTGGGAGCATTGGTGAGACGTTCGAAGTCAATGGACTGGAGCACTTTCCAATGGATGTCGAGGCGAGCGTCGAGAAATGCCATCGAGCGCTCGTCAGGGGCGGATGGTGAGTGATTCCCGGTCCTTGTTTGACGTTATATGCTAACAACCAACAGTGCAATCTTCCAAGCTGGCTCGCTTCTCGTCCTCGTTGCTGAGGTCAGGACACGCGCTTTCCTCGCCTCCCTTGTCCCCATCATCGTCAACACGGTGCTTAATGAGCACCAGCTGGTTCTCGACATTGTTGCATTTGTAGCGCTGGGTGACTTCCCGCGATCGAGACTTGGTGAGAAGCAACGCGGCAAGATTTTGGCCAATTGGGTGAGCCGCAAGATGCGCACGATTGCTCAATTCAGCATCCGTGATCCAGACGCAGAAGGTAGCATTGGAACTATTGTACCTGAAGAACACCTCCATCGACGGGGCAGCGGCATCAGCGACCGGCCACCAGGAGGTGCACCAAGCTTACGCGCGGGCGAAAGCGGACTTCGACATGTGGAAAGTGTCACGCGATTGCCCGTGACGGAAGAGAATCCTGGTCGTGAACATGAAAACATGTTGACTGTGCAAACGACCTTGCACTCCGGCACAGAGACCGTACACAGTCCCGCGGAGACGACGAGAAACGACGACACCCCCACGACCGAGACGCCGCGCCCGTTGGTTTTGAACACGACATTGGATTACTCGCCTATCGATCCGTACGCGCAAGAGACACCACAGGAGATTGAGTACACCCATCCGCGCTCAACATGGGAAGATGATGGACATTATCCACCGTCCCATGGATATCCGGATTATCCATCTCACCATCAGCAATATGAGCCCGATTCGCCGGGTTCGCCGGTCGATATGCCGCAACCCTTGGGTGGGTTACGGATTGCGAACCGCACGAGTGCCGTGAGCGATGACTGGGGCGAGGAGGCTCTTAGGCAGATGAACCTCGGAGATCGATCGTAGCAAACCGCAGGAAGATTAGTTGCACATCTATGATTGGACAAAGGGACACCAAAGGGAATATTGATATGTTACCTCACACGACGAATGACTTTTTTGTTTTTGTTTTGTTGTCTTTTGTCACACGTTGTTGTCATTTTTGCGGCGTTTGCATCTTGTACAGAAGGAAAAAGCGAAGGATTATCAAGCATTATTGGAGGAGTGATCATTGGCCTTATCTGTGGTGTACGAAAGGGGATGGATGGTAGGGGAAACTTGTTGCTGCTGCTGCTGCTGCTGCTGTTTTTAGACGATAAGATGAATGATACCTCTAGGCGCCGATGAACATTTCCGCATGAAATTCCTTGTCCTTGGCCTCCTCCCTGCTTGTTCGAACTATTGTTTTATGACGCGACACACCACCACTGGGCGCTTGCACGGTATCTGTAACTCAACATCAGGACGGGCGCGGCAGTGGGAAAAGGAAATTCAGGCTTGCGATTGGTCTCTTGGTCTGTCTGTTCTCATTCCTTTCTGCGTGCATTATCTATGTGGCAGCTTTCTTTCTTTCTCTCCCTCTCTCTACAAATCTCATCTCATCTGTCTGTCTGTCGTATCTGGCCGGCCACTAGAACCCATGGCCAATCCGCCGAGACCATGTCTCTCTCTCTCTCTCTCTCTCTCATGGTCGTCTTCTCTGTCGTCGTCTTCCTGTAATCAAAAATCAAGGGGGGTTAAATGGTATCTATGCACACACACACGCACACAAGGGGAACCCGATTCAGAAATCCCTCAAACCCAATGCCACACATTCCATTCCATTCCAAAACGCCGTGGACGCCGTCTTCTTTTGGAAATGCCGCTAAAACAAATCTTCAGAGCTTTCGACTGTCTCTCTCTCACTCTCCCACACACACACATACACACCATGTAGGATTCTCTGTTGTCCTCGTTTGGTGTTACGAATAGAACCAATACTCAGCACTATACTGAATCTCGAATGCCGCCTGCTGACCCTCGCACGTCGCAGGCGGTTGCCCGCCCGCGGTGTTGACGCGGTAGACTTCCTGGAAAGCACATTCGTCTTCGCTCTTGGCCTGTAACTTGAGCCACGCGACGGCGCCGTTGCCCTGGCCCCATTGGCCGTCCATGGCATCGGCGGGGGCATTGGTCGAGTTGATCTTTTTGAAAGCGCCTTGGCCGAAGGCGGTGAGGGAGGTGTCGAGGTTGAAGTAGGCGGTCGTCAGGTCGGTGAAGTAGTGGTGGCCGGAGAGGTCTTGGGAGGCCGGGCTGGCCGCGTTGCTGGTGGACGGGACGGGGAGTTGGAGGGCGATGTCGGGGATTTTGGAGAGGAGGAGGGGGTTGTCGGCGGACATGCAGGTGACGTTGAAGAGGGAGGCGAGGGCTCCGGTGGCTTGCGGCACGGCGGTGGTGTTGCTGAGGTCGCAGGTGTAGTTCTGTGTTCCGCGGCCGACGGCGACGTGGTAGAGCTGCAAGCCTTCTGAGGGCTCGGGGAGGGGCTTAGGCGCTGCGTAGGCTGTCAGCGATGGATTCTTGGGGCGAGTTCAGTGTAATCCTTCTTACCTTGAGGTAGTTGTACGGCGGCAAGGTTACATTGTCCCGGTTGAGCGTTGCGTCCTCCCCATGAGTGCCTTTTGCCGAAGTCGATGAAGGATGAGGCACTGTTGGACAGCCAGTCGTCGAGCCGTCGCTTCTCCAGCGGCACAGCAGCAACAGTGCTCACTGCTGCGAGGGCAAGGAGTGTTCGCTGCAACAACATGATGAGGCTTGTTGAAGCTTTTGTTGAGTCTAAAGGATTGGATGGCTGTCAATAGCCAATGCCGTCAACTGCGGCGTGGGGAGAAAGTTGTCGATACTGTAGTTGCTGTCGATGTTGGTGGAGGAGGATTGAGTCTTCTTGCCTTGTGGATGATAGAACGAGAACCCGACAGCCTCTCCTTCAGCGCGTACCGACACCGATTCTATATACATGGCTGTATCCATGGCTATCTATATACACGGCTGCTCCAGTGTAACCGTGAGGCCTGAGGTCCAGCGCGAGTTAGCCGCCCAGGATGGAAATAGAACGTTAATTGCGCTGCATCTGGACGCTGCATGCAGACCGCGGGCCCAAGCGTCGCCAGCATCAAGTACGTGTATGCGGCCAAGATCCAGCCTCGAGCCAATTAGCCCGCGTATACTCCAGGAAAAGCAGCATAATTCGTCCAGAAGCGGTAGTTCTCATCTGCATCTCCAGTTCTATTGTGGGCAAATTAGCCCAGCCATCTCCGAACTCCCCATCCACCACTAGGAACTCCACCAGGGCGCTTAACGAGGCGGGAATGGCTGGCTCTCGATGCACCTCTGCTCCTCCCGACGTTTCAAACCACGCTGCCGTACTACATCTGTCCTGCAGCGCAGTGGATACAACATCTGCCAAACGGCCCGCTGCACCTCTTGCGTAACTACAGATGCCCTTCTCCAATAGCAGACAAAACGTTTCTCATTCCAATGAGCTGGCTAACCGCTGGAGGAACGATCGGCAGCAAGCGGTCAGCCTTGCCACGCTCTTTGGTCTTACTGTATCGCATGCCAACGGTAGTCGGCGCACGAGAGACACGCGACGCGCGAGCGCGATATTCCTGCTCTTTGCTCCGCTTCTCTGGGCTGGGTCGGCGGTAGTGGCGACCGTGTGGATACCTTCAGGTGCATCGATGCGGCCGGGCGCCAGCCATGCGGCCACTTCTGCTTCCAACCTCGAATTAGCCCCCGTAACACAGAGCGCTTCCGGCTGGCACGGCACCTTTCATTCCACGCTGGAAAGTGAGCTTTCGAGGGACTATTCGCTGAGAGCCTCGAGGCTCCGGGAGGCAGGCGGCGGAGGTCGACCGCTACATTGGATACCACATCTGTCAGTTCGGTGGCTCAAAAGCTCTTGAGCGGACTCTGAGGCCGTATTGGATACCACAGAATGGGTTGCTTGCGTAGTTTGCAGATCTCCAGCTTGGTTCTTGAGGTGCGTCCGTGGAATATTGATCGTCCAGGCCCCAAGTTTAGCAAGCTTTGGTACGTTGACCTTGACCGTGACATCAAAAGCCAGCGACGAACGGCTGCTTAGGCGCTCGCCTTGATTTATATTTCTGTGTTCCTCGGGAGTCTTTACATCATCTCGATTACGACGCACCAGCTTGGAAGCCTTCTTGTTGCCAGTCGCCATGATCCGCTCCTCCACCAACAGCAGCATTCGCAGCAGCATTGGCCGCGGATCCGGCAACCGAACCGGCGCCCAGCTTACTAGCATGTCTCTCGATATCTGAGGCGCCCATCCAATAGAGCATCACAAAGATGAGTAGATGCAAGGCCAAGCAATATAGGGCAAACAAGTTTCTGCTCGTGCGTGTTGCCAACACCATGCGCGTGATCTGCCAAACCGCTCGCTCGGGTAAGCTCATCCGTTTCAGAGCTCGGGCGCTCTCTCGTCCTCGGAACGCCGCAAAGGGAGATATGTTCTGCTCGTATGCTGATCGATATCGGTCGAGTGATAGGCCAGATGGTGTATCTGCCGAGCCCACCTGAACTGTCGATGGGTTTGGATTGGCACCGTACGCCGCTCCTGAGGAAGCTGGTTGGCTTCTGTTGTAGGTCGAGACATATCTCGTCTTTTCGTACAGGTTCAGATTATCCTTCTGCAAGGACGCCACTTCTGAACGGAGTGACGAGACGGTCTGATATTGCTTTTGCAATTCTTGCTCCAGCTCGCCGATCTTCTTCTTGAAGCGATCACGCTGTGCAGTGACCATGGGAAGGATACCCGACCCACCACCTACTGGCTCACCTGCGCGGAGAGAGTCCAGTGTTGACCTCGTTGGTGTCCCAGAGCCGGATGATCCCTCGAACCCGCCAATGATAGAGGATGTCGGTGACGCGCCCCCGCCTCGTCGACTCCCGTATTGAGACTTGGGATACCGCGAGGTGTATGTCCCTGCCACGGACATCGTTTCAAAGGCGTTCGAAGCCTCTTGCTGCGTCTTCTGGAGATCATTCTCCAATGTAGCGTTGAGATTGCGCGCCTTCTCCAGCTCCATGTTCGTGCTGGACAGGTCCTCCTGCAGCTCCTCAAACCGACGTTGGAGGTCTTGGTGGGACACCCGGAGCTCGGTCAATTCGTTGCTAATCTTCTTATTCCGTGCTACAAGCAATTGCTCCAGGCTCTCACCCTTCTGCTTGTCTGCAGACCCATTGGCATGTGAAGCCACTTCAGTCTCCGTGGTATCGACGTCTTCAATACTCGCAAACTCGATTGCGCGGAGCATGTCAAGTTCTCGTTTGACTTCATCATAGTCGCTCCATTTCTGAACCTTGCTTTGAAGGGCGTCTCGATCTGCTTTGAGCGAGCTGAGCTCTCGTTCGATGACTCGCAGCTTGTTCTCCAGCTCTATTCTCGCCTCGTCCTTGCCATACCTAGCTGTATCCAGCTTTCGCAGTAATGAGGTGTTCTCGGACCTCAGTCTCAGGTACGCTGGGTCGTCCTCAACTGCTGTGCTCCTTGCGGAGCTATTGGATTGACTTGTCGCCTGTGCAAGCTCGACACGCAATTGTTCATTCCTGGCTTCCACTTCGGCGAGTCGCATGTTGGTTCTTTCGAGTTCCGAATTCGCAATTTCTAGCTCAGCCGCCGTAGCTGTGTTTCGGCCACTGTCCTGTATCTCTTCCCCAGACTTCTCAAGCCTCTGCGATACCTCATAGCTGGCCTTCAGCTCCTTCAGCAACCTGTCTTGGTTCTCGACTTTCTCCTCCAAGCTTTTCTCTTTTGCTGTCCAATTGTCCTCCTTCTCCTTTAGCACAGCTGACCACGATTCTTCGACTTCCTTGATTTTCGAATCTTGCGAACCCTCGAACGACTGCCTCTTGCTGCGCTCTTGCTCCAATTGCGTCTCTGTCTCCTCTAGCTGAGAATTGAGTCTAGCGACCTGATTCTGCAACCGATCGTTCTCCGACTCGAGCTTAGGTACAACCTCGTCAGCAGTCACCAGAGAGTCGATAGAGGCCTCGAGCAGAGGATATGGGTCCGGCGCTTCGGACAGCGGAGAATAAGCCGACATGAAAGCCGCAGAAACAGCTTTGTTGTGGTTCGTCAGGACATCAATGTAGCCCTGATACATCTTCAGCAGGTCCTTGATCTCGGTCAGTTTGGAGGGATCGTCCAGCTTTCGGAAGTCCTTGGTCTTCTGAGCAAGCTCTTTCCTCTGTACCAGTGAGTCCTTCTGCTGGGTAACAATCTCGGAGGCGGTGTTGTCTAGGCTCGAGACCAGCTTGGTAAGGTCCAGAGAACGCCATGCTGCCACGGCCTGCTGGAACTTGTTGCTGGCTTCGCTCGTTTTCGTCTCGCCATGACCATTGTCTTGTGTTTCTGTTGTCACTTCATCTTCGCTTTCTGTTCCCTCCATCGTGTCGTGCTCTTCCATTGTCCCAACCATGATCGCGTTCCAATCGGTGTTCTAGGAGAGCGACGCGTGGCCGCCTGTGCTGCTGGTATGGAGTGGCCAGGCGCAGGGAGAACCTAAAGGCTTGAGTTATGGTAGGGCAGAAGCATCAGATCTCCAATACGGCAATGTCGTAGGGAATTTTGCTCGGTGGATTGATAGGTGTCCGGTGTTGGCAAGACGGAGGTGAGCTGTGAGCCCTGCGACGGTACTGAATACTTCCGAGAGCAACTCCAGCCGGCTCTTGAAGTTCACCACATGGAAGCAGCAACAGCCACGGAGATTTATACCACTTACAAGCTTCCGAACACACTTGACAGTGCTGTATTCAACACTTGGGGCGAGATGCGATGATCCTCGAGATCAGGCTGCTATGGAACCAGACCATGCAGCCACCTCCCACACCCAGGATGGCTCGCCGGGCTCGTATACCCTTCGCGAGCTGATCAGAGACGTTCCTCTGACGCCAGCCGAGGACAATGAAGTTCAAGCGCACATTACATGTGTGGATACCTGGAACGGCAACGTCTACATCGGAACCTCTTCTGGAGAGGTACTGCATTACGTCTCTATACCGCCCGATCCAGCCGACGAGAGCGGCCAGCCCAGCTACATCTTTGCGACGAAGATCGAGCCGCCATTCAAGCACAGACAGACCGGAGACGATGCTGGAGTGAAGCAGATCCTCTTGCTTCCGAGCATAAGCAAAGCCTGCATTGTGTGCCACAGCACCCTCACGTTCTGGAATCTGCCCGAGCTGAGTCCAGCGTACGAAGGAAGAATCGAGCAGGCGGGATGTCTATGGCTTGGTGGACTCGATAGAAATGACTCAGGGCAAGAGAGCGGAGACTCCAAGGGCGTTGTGGCAGTCATTTGCTTGCGCCAGCGGCTGCGTCTAATTCGCATATTCGAAGAAGCTCAGCCTCGAAAGATCCGGGACATTGAACTTGGGGGCATATCTACACTTCAGAGACGAGGAGATTTGGCCTGTGTGGCCGATGGACATTCGTATTCTCTCTTGGATGTTGTCAATCAACGCAAGAATGAGCTCTTTCCCATATCGTCTCTGAACGATCCCAGGCCTCAAGCCCAAGAGACATTGCCTAATCTTCGAAATCGACCGGCATCACGCAGCTTCTCTTCGCATAGCCCGGTACGCCAATCCCGCAGCCACTCTAGAAATATCAGCCTGGGAGGACAGCCTCAAAACAACAACCGCTTGCGTCCCGATAGCAATTCGCCTTGGCCAAAACGGAGATCATCGCGTCAGACAGAGTCGCCCGCTCCCTCCTCGAGTAGGGAAGAAAGTCCCACAAAGTCTGAGACTACGGTCGAGGCTCAGCAACCAAACAACTCATCTGTAGTGGAGACTTCTGAGCCAGTGAAACCTCTGCCACCTAACATCCTGTCGCCAACTCCTAGCGAGTTCCTGCTCACCACTGGCACGAGGAAAGTCGATCCTGGAGTGGGCATGTTCGTGAATTTGGAAGGCGATGTCGTTCGTGGAACATTAGAATTCAGCAGCTATCCGGACGCTCTCGTTTTGGATTTTTCTCAAGACTCTGCGCTTGGCCCAGGCTCTGACGATGCTTCACAGGGGGGGTATGTACTCGCTGTTGTTCATCGAAAAGCAGAGGATACGATGCAGCAATGCATTGAAATACAGCGATGGGACGCGGACCCTGGCGAGGCTGATCGCACCAAAGAATGGCTCGTGCTTGGAGCAATTAATACGGGAGGAGAGCAGGGAGAAGTGTCTACAAAGGCTGGCTTACGCAATCCAACGACTCCCGCCGAGCTCACTGTGAATGGCGTGACTTCTACGTTACGGTTGCGGCGCTTGAAGCTCAAGGAAGTTGCTGAAGATGGCGTGGAAACGATGCGCAATCAGGAAGAAGATAAATTGGCTTCTCGCTTCGCACAGGTCCAGGCTAATGTCCTGTTCTTCAACAAAGACCAGGTATCGTGGGTTGTTCAAACACCCATGATCAGTCAACTAGATCGACGGCTTGCGGAAGCGGTGCGACAGACCAGCAGCGATGAGCTCTCGATCGACGTACCGCTCGTACAGCGCGTGGTCAACAGTATACGGAGCCAAGAGCCTCGCGATGAGCTGGAGTTCTTGACGCTGACATATGTACGACAAAAGTCTTCTTTGCTGCTGTTTGGCAATCTGGTCTTGCAAACGGCGAATGGAACCATTGCGTACGAACACGACAAGCGACGAGCAGAAGACGCGCTTGTCTCTGGCGAATTGGATCCAAGAGTGGTCTTGTCTCTTGTTCCTCCTCTTGAAGCCGAGACTGCCGAAGGCAGCAACGGAATCTGGATGTCGCAGGGTCTTTGTCATGCTGTCGACCAGATACGCAAGAGCTTCGATCCCGACAAGATCACGCGGGATGTCCAAGGTCCGTACGGCGACAATCTACTCAGCCTTGTGAAGCGCTATTTGATGGTGTGGCGCAAGAAGAAGGGCTTTGGCAGTGTCGCCGACGAAACTTACGTTTTCCAGACAGTTGATGCAGCTCTGCTTCATGTGTTATTGATGCTTGATCAGAATAGTCCGCGGGGACCCGCGACAGTAGGCACAATACGTGCCGAACTGAACGATGTCGTAGATCGTGGAGTCGACTGCTTCGACCGTGCCGTTGAGCTTTTTGAACAGTACGATCGACTTTACATGCTAAGCCGCCTGTACCAGAGTCGCAAGATGGTGTCTCAAGTGCTTGCTACTTGGAAGCGCATACTTGAGGGCGAGAAGGATGCTGGTGGCGAGTTGGTCGAAGGGGAACATGACCTACGACGCTACCTTTCCAAGATCAGGGACTCCGCTCTAGTTCAGGATTATGGAGCCTGGCTCGCGCATCGGAATCCCAAGCTTGGTGTACAAATCTTCGCCGACGATAGCAGCAGGGTGAAGTTCCAGCCCACAGAAGCTGTGGCTATTCTCAAAGACAAGGCGCCCGGCGCTGTCAAAGATTATCTGGAACATCTCGTTTTCGGGAAGAATCACGTGCAATACGTCAATGATCTGATTGCTTTCTATTTAGATACTGTTCTGAGCGAGCTCGAGAGCTCTGACGAGTCTAGAAAGACTCTGCTGCAGTCGTACGAGACGTACAAGGCGCTGCACCCCCCTAAGCCGACCTATCGCGAGTTCATCACGGATAACGCCATCAACGCGGAGTGGTGGCACAATCGGCTACGTTTGCTGCAACTAATCGGAGGTAGCCATGGCGCGGCCTCGAAATACAACGTACACACTCTCGGCGAGCGGCTTGCGCCATACACCGACGAGCTTGTGCCTGAGATGATCATTCTCAATGGCAGGGAAGGCAAACACGAAGAAGCGCTTCGCCTGCTTGTTCATGGGCTAGGAGACTACGATACCGCTATTAGGTATTGCCTTCTGGGAGGCTCGAGCATCTTCCATCCTTCCTCCAGCCTGGCACCCGAGCAGCCCTTACCATCAAAGGACGAGCAAGCCCAGCTGTTTGAGTATCTCCTTCACGAGTTCTTCAGAATCGAAGATTTGAGCGAGCGTCTAGAAAGAACTTCGGAACTACTTGGACGATTTGGAGGCTGGTTCGATATCGAGAAAGTGCTGGACCTCATCCCCGATTCGTGGTCTGTGGAGCTCGTTTCGGGGTTCTTGGTACACGCTTTTAGAAGGCTTGTCCGGGAGAAGAATGAGACTGTTGTGATCAAGGCGCTGTGTAGTGCGCAGAATTTGAGACAAAGCGTTGAGTTCGCCGAGAAGACAGAGAGAATAGCCCCGGTGGTTGTCAATCCGCAAGTAGATGTCGGTGAATGATGTGGATGATAATGAGATTCGGTTGCGGGATAGGCCATTCACTTCGTCTTAGTTCTGGCTTTTCGCGTGAGGTCCGTGCGCAACGCGCCAGCAGACGAGCCTCAGACATTTTAGACAGACAACTACCTCCATCTACTCGAAGTCACCAACCTGGCTTCAAGGTTACTCGCAATGAGTCGCACAAACTCGCCTTCCCCGGAACTGAGGCTACTCGACCAGTAGGTCGATTCTGCTCATCACTAGATCTGCGCTGATATTGAGTAGCCTCTCAACAACCGAGAAAGTACCTCACCGCGCAGCATGCGAGATTTGCAAGCGCCTCGCAATAAATGCTTTCAAGGCTGGGTGCTGTGTGGCTCAGGTCTGCGATCAATGTATGTGATACATTTGCGACGAAAGCTCACTGTCCAAGTTCTTACTTTCCTTAGGTACAGGTCGGTATCGCGCAGCATCCCATTGTCCAGCTTGCGGATCCAGCCTCGCATATTGGACACAAGATCAACATGTTAGGACCACTGTCAATGGCTTCCTGAAAGTCCAAGCTAAGAAGCACGGGATGACACTTGGCCGCCACGGACGAGTGGAAGTGGATTTGAAGCGTACTGCGAAGGCCGACCCGTCTCTGAGAGCACTGGCTTCCTCTGCTCTAGCACACGCGCTCAATATCAAGCGGACGGATCGTGCTAAGCATGACCTACTGCTATCGCCAGATCAAGGCATTGAGCACGACTTGGATGCTATCACACTCGGACTTGCAAAGCTGAGTAAGTATCAGCTCCATTGTTCTAATTTTACTTTCAACTGACAGAACAGACTTGTCATCTGGTGCAGGCCTTCATCAAGCACACTCGGCCGCCTGCCGCACATTCGCAATCTACGAGCTCGCCGAAGCCATTTTGAGCTATTGTGACATGCGTGACATCGTGCGGTGTCGGCGGGTCAATCGCTACCTGAACTGTACTATTTCGAGATCGAAGCTACTCCGTCAATTGCTGTTTCTCGAGCCTTGCTACGGAACAGTAACAGAGATAAATCCCCTACTCGCCGGCTTGACTGCGCTCTATAAGTCTCGGAAGGACATTAGGATCCAGCATGACGACAGATCAGCTGTTGTTCATCCTTTATGGCATGCCGTGCTTGCTACGCAGCCACCGGTGGAGCATGTGAGTGTCATCCACCATCATTCACGCAATTCTGATCGGCATATGAAAAGGAAGGATGTTGTCACTGTGCGCTCGCTCCTGCAGGCCGTAGCGGAAGCGGTTTGGGTACCTCCAGGTAACAGCGTCGCCCTTGGAATGGCACGCCGATCCGATGGACGAGACAAAGCCGTGCTGCAGTACGTAGTGTGAGCGTACGACAGCACCCTCATCGGCAGCAAGATCGAGAGCCAATCAGGGAGAAGCATCTCGCTACAAAGACACAGACAACGAGAGCCCACAATGGAGCTATTGTTGACTGGACAATTCACGCTTCAACAATAGCGGGAAGATTCTTTCATGTGCTTCACTAGCTCTTTGTGTTAAAAAGGGTAACAACACAATGCTTTTAAGAACACCCCCATCGTTGAAGACTTACCGGACTCGCGACCTTTTACTCACCAAATCAATATTTTCCTGTCATCGCAACCACTCGAGTCGATTCAACAGCGCTGTGCGCACCATCGAAACTTCGAATTTCTCGTCACGAAACAATACAAAGATCAAAGAGCAGTCCACGATAACATGCATCTTCACTCCTTGCACCACAGCACCTACTATAAACAGAGCTCCTCACCCCCGAGCTCACCTCTCGTCCGTCGACGAACAGAAGGCGACGGAACAGACCTCGTCAAGCCGACCCTCATCTGCTTCATCATCATCTTCGCCCTGCTGTTCCTCGCATGGCTCGCCGGGCATGTCCACAGAAAGCTACGGGCAAAGAAGCTAAAAGCGCGCGGCCAGGGGAACGTGCTGAGCATGGGATCTCTACGGAAGGAAGGACCGCGACAGCCGTCGGAAAGGAGGGAGCGAGTACCGTTTTACGGAAATCAGTATGAGGCTGCTTCTGCTGCCCACTACGCGGACAAGGGTATGCCGACCATGCCGGAGTGTTCTTATGGGCGGCAGTCGAAGGCAAGACCACAGGGAGTCTATCGCGGCAGGTGGGTTTGAGGCCATCGCGAGTATGAGGCCGCAGTAGTTCTACTACCATCACGTAGACCAGCAACCGGCCAAGAGTTTGAAACAAGACTTTCCTTGTAGCAAAACAATGTTGCATTCAGACACAACCATTTCCGCAATAGTTTTCTTCCGATTTATTCCCTTGCTGTGCAGAAGTAGAACGTCGCATGACCCGGGGCTGTGGCTACAGACTCTGGTCACGTTCGGTGTGGTCACGTTCGGTGAGATTCGGCTGCTTCCGGATCTGATAGGGGCAACACGTGAAAGGCAAGGCCGTGCGTATGCCGCAGCCGCGTGAAAGCCGCGAGATCTGGAGATCCGGAGTGCCGACAGCTTGGAAGGCTTGAAAGCCAAGCCATGGGTGGACGGAAGGGCGCGGGGTTTGCAAGAAGAAAAGAGCTTCTCAATGTATGTCCGCGGATTGATGCTGTGATGCGCATGGTCGATTGATAAGACCTCATTACTTGACGAGACTATTGAAATTGCTGCAACGGGGCGTGTTTAAGAGTCGTGAAATGTGCATCCCGTGTTCGTAGATCTCATGAACTACTGAAGGGAAAGCAGACGGAACTCTCGGCTACTTGGGCGGGTATCGGGATCGCAAGCGGCCGGGCGGAATCGGAAGGGTGTACTCTGACGAAATCTTTAACTTACGACATTCCACAAGCGCCGAACGTTATTATTTCCTACTACTCTGCAAGAGACAACATATCTCCGTCGGTCCATACTGTACATCGGGCAGGGACGACACGGTCGGGCAGCTGGTGTTGCTTCGGAGAGCGTCGAGCAGCCAGACATCCCCACGGCAAGGCACATCCACAGACCCGACGGCGTGATTCATTCACCACCACCATAGTCACGACTGCAAACCAGACACCAGCCTGCTGGCACGTCGTTCTGAATTCTGGTCACAACCGCCGACATCTCAGACACAGTATCACGCCGGCAACAATGCCTACGCAAAGACCTTCATTCCTCGGCAACTTCCTCACAGCGTTTCGAGCACATCCACAAGCACTCCCCAAAACGCAGTCTTCAATATCTTCGTCGACCGTGGGAGCGACGGCAGCCACCATATGGACGGCTGCCCCCCAGCAGAATGTCAAGACGGCGTCGTCGGGCCCCGAAACGACAGTAGCAAGTCCCAGACCGATCAACCCCAAGACCAATCCGTATAACGCGCAGACAAGCACGCCGGCTCAAGACCGCCAGCTAGTAGCTTCGTTGTCACCTCTCCAGCACAACGTCAGTCCGCAGACGCATCTGCCTCGCTCCCCACCTTCGCCTGGTCTGCCCACATATGGGCCTCAAAACAAGCCCCAACCGAGCTATCCTTCCGTGCAAGAAGCGAGGCGGTCACGGCGAGGCAGTGATAGCAGTTCCGACTCGGGTGGATTCAGAGAGGTCAGAGGAGGCGGCGAGAAATGGTTCATTGGTGGTCTGACGCCGGCTGGGGAAGAGAAGTACTACAAGCTGAGCATGGTCAAGAGAGATAAGAGCCTAGACCGTATATCCACTGATCAGATGAGTTTATGAAGTTATGAATGAGACGACTTTTGCATGATGATCGGGCCCGCGCTCGAGCGTAGGCAGGATGAAGATACTCCTTGCAGAATTGGGCACGGTAAACCACCGAGGGCTGTACATTGGCACAAAAGCAGCGTGATTGGTGGTGATAGAGCTTGGGCAAAGTGGTCTGGTCAGGCACACGTAGCTCGCAGAATGGAACGGTGGCCAAGCAATGGGCCGCATGGGCAGTAGTCCACGCGAGCGGTGCCAGCTTTCCCTCAGGCCATCCTGCTCTTGCTACCAGCCACTTACCTCTCGAAGAAGCCCGAGACGGCTCTTCACGCCAGCACTTCAAGCCTTTCCATTCTACGAGTGCGCCAGGAATCCCTCGCCACGTGGGAATATGCATAGGTACCAGGTCGAAGGCCAACACTCGGTGCAATGAGAGATGTCCCACGCGAGAAGCTGTCGGTGCCGAAGTGAGATACGCCATTTCTTCGTCAATCCGAGTTTGCACGGGCGTACAACACGTGGAAGTCGACAGGGGCGTCAGAGTTCAATGGGCAGCCACCACGTGGGAAAGACAGAACGGAAGGTCTCATCCTGAACGGTGGCTTGAAGAATCCAGGTTGTCCTTCCGAGGTTCTGTTCTTTTGGGGAGGGAATGCGCGCGGAGAGGCGAAGGAGCGAGCGCCATCTTCACGAACGGGTCGGACCACCGGTGGATCCGAGGTCTTCAAGGAGTCCACTGTTGGCTTGTGGGGTACTGTTTAGAACGGTGCTCCCGACGACCTTATTGACGTGGTTGGTGAATGGAGAAAGATGGCGGCCACGCGAGCGAGCTGTACTGTCACTTGGCGAGTCGGCGGATTTTACACCTTCTGCAAAGCGCGTGGTTGGCTTGTGAGTTACCCTTCTCGCAGTCATGACAGATGACTGAGTCGACGTGGTTGGCAACATGGAGGCAAACGGCTGCCACGCGAGCGAACGCCATTTTAACAACGACGTCGGTGTATCCGCCGATGTGGTTGTCGTGAGAAGGCCGAATTGGGCTTCTAATAGCATGTCCTGCTCTGGAAGTTCCCATCGACGATGACCTGCAGTGGATGACGAAGATTTCAAAGAAAATGGCGGCCACGCGAGCGAGCGCCATCCTGAGGATGCCATCGGTGTATATGCCGATGTCTGTCGTTCGGAGAGCTCAATTTGAGTATTTGAGCCAGGAGGCATTGTTCTGGACGTCAACATTGACATTACCTTTCAAGTGGATGAGGCAGGGGATGGCGACCACGCGAGCGCCATCTCTTGGATGAGCTCGGCGCACCGACGGATCGCAGATCTGTTCCCACGGGGGCGATCTCACCTTAGTACATCTGGCCACTCAGTTGTTCTGGAACCACGAGATGGCTTGAACCGGCGAGGCCCATTCCGTAGCTCTGCTCACTTCGCTTGCTGGACCCCAAACGGGACGTGACACACTGCAGAGCCAGACGTCTGGAAGGCGCATGGAAGGCGCGTAGAAGGTCGCTAGAAGGGGAGGCGTCGGTTGTAGCACGCTGCCCTCGTGAAATGCCATCGAAGGCCTGCAGCTGATCGACTGCGCGTATTCCTCCGATCCACTGCACCTGCACGTCGGACTTCTTCCCTGTGGCTTAGAGGGAGTTTGTAATTGAGAAGTCTGGGTTAGAAACAGCGAGCTGCGACTGTTTGAGAGGTCGCGCCACGTTTATGGAGCGAGTGTAACGAGTTTTGCGCTTCGATGACAATTTGATACTATAAAGCAAGTCCCCATTGCCCTTGTTCGTCAACATCATCACCAACAGAACAACACAACAAACAAGTACAACTCGAAGACCAAGGCAGCTATCAACATATAATAACAACGTCAACAACGAGCACTACCACCACTACACAGAACAGTCGATCAACTGCTCAAATGGCTTCACCGCTCGTCAATCTCCCCCTGGAGATCCGCGATCTTGTCACCGCGAACATCATCTCCCAAAACCAACCACTCCTACACAACACCAGCTGCAGAAGACCTTCAATCCCATACAACCGAACGACCTCCACCTCCAGCACTCCATCGACACAGCAACCCACCCTCCACTCCGAATATGCCCGCCTCATGCGCAGAGCAGCCTTCACACCCAACACCAAGACCAAAGCGCTCATCTACAACTGCGACTTCCGCGAGATGATCTCCTTTGTCAAATCCCTGAGATCGAGCGAGATTGCCGCCGCGAATCGCTGTCAGAGTCTGATGTTGAACGTGATGGTTTTTGGGCTCAGGGGCCAGAGTGGGCAGAGACTTTTGGAGTGGGTGAAGCTTTGTGAGGAAATGGGATTGGGGCTCGAGTATATGGTTCAATGGATGCAGTGTGATGCGGTGCAGTTGGAGAGTCTGGAGGGGGTGCTTGGGAGGTATCAGGAGGGGAGGAAGATATTGGCGGGGTTGAAGGCTGCTGTGAAGACGAGGAGGTGAGAAGGGAAGGTAGTGAGAAGGTGAAGGAAGGGAATAATGAAGGGAATAATGAGTCAAGGGGTGTAAAGATTTGTACCCTTGATCGATAAAGTTGTATAGGAAGCAGCTATGCTGAAGAGAATTATACTTCACACATCCGCCCTCGATCCACGGTTGTCTTGTGGTCGTAGAGCAGCGAAGAAGGAACTGACGGCTAACATACTGGCTTCCTTGGACGAGTGGATTTATAATATCACTTTTTGATTTGTGCAAATATCAGAGGTGACTTGCTGAGTGCATGGTCGTTGTCGGAGGTCTTCATAGGTGTCATTCGTCCTATGTGCGAAGGCCTAAGCAGGGGCGATAGGTAGTTCATCCTGCGAGCATACTCTAATACATGCTCCAGACGCCGCGTCTCGAAATGGCATGGTATGTCCAAATATTCCCATGTGCTTACTTTGGGGCCCACATGCGGTCACACGTCACTCGCTCTCTTGTGGGTATGGCTTTTGCGCTGCAGCCGCATCTAGCTACAGCGCAGGTGGTCACATTCTCAGCCGTCCGGTTCTCACATGCTTCTCCTGATATGTCTGAGTACAATCCGCGACTTTGCGTCTGGACTCCACGTGCTTTTGTGCTGGCATTTCGGGCGACGGTAGTAACTTCCCATGTGATTCTTGGCACACGCGGAATTTAAGGCTCCACTTGGTGGCACGGCCCGTGCTTTGACGTGCCCACTTTGAGGTGGTCCAAACATCTACAGCGCAAAGGGCGTCAGGCGTGCCTCATCTCCCGTGTAGGTACCTTGGCAGAGGCTCACAAAGAGCGGAGTTCAGCCAGCGCGATCAACCAGCTGTTGTAGTGCCCAGCACTCGTGAAAGCTGTGACGAGGAATGGCCACTCAGTGAGGCGGTGATATTTGTCTCATCTTCCAGTTCGTTCAAGTCATCCAACTGGGCTTGTCTTCAGCCGCAGCTACTTCCTCTCTCTCCCATGGCTTCTTCCTCCGCTCCGCCTGGCTCTCGGAAGCATGGCCTTCGAGAATGGTATCTGGAATGTCCTTGATACCAGGAATGGACTTTCCTTCAGCTATCATGTCGCAGATCTCGGCGAAGCTCGCGGGTTTCGGTGCGTCTCCCATGCCACCGGAAGATTCGGTATTCGGGGTAGCAGCTTCAGAACTCCAAGCATGTCCTGCACTTTCTACTCCATTTGTCGAGCCTCCTCCTCCTCTTCGCGCCTCCACCCAATTCTTATAGCCATCGAAATCAACCGGCGTGCCTGCCTTTCTCGCGTAATAGTAGCACTTTGCTCTTAACGTGAGGTGGTCGACCTGCTGCGGATCTTGTACGGAGCCTAGAATCGCGCGTAAACCACCTTGGAACTCCTCGTCTTGGTCCCACCGATAAGTGTCCAGCTGGTGGTACAGGTCGGTGCTATCGCTCTGCCGCTCTGTGGCCATGTTCAAGCAGAAAGATGGGGTGCGTTGGCGCAGAGTGAAGTGAACCTTGGAAGTTGACCTTAGGCGTCACGGCAACAGCCGCTGGCAGGGTCCGAGCTCCCGAGATTCAGTTTGCATGGCATTTGCGCTGTGCGAAGCAAGTCAACAACCCTCACCGCGACATAAACCTCTACCCTTCCCCCACCTCATCCTCCGCCATCCTCCACACGCAAGCACACGTGAGCCAGCATGTCTGAATACATCGGCTCGCGTATCTCCCTCATTTCCAAATCCGACATCAAGTACGCTCGCTCCCCCTCGCGCAGCCGCGCACGAGACATGAGACACGCAGCTGACACGGCGCAGATACGTTGGCACTCTCAAATCGATAGACAGCGAGACTGCGACCGTTTCTCTCGAGGGCGTACAATGCTACGGCTCTGAAGGCCGACGAGGCAATCCTGCCGACGAGATCCCCGCCTCCGACACCATCTACGATGGCATTGTCTTCCGTGGCAGCGATGTCAAAGACCTCACCATCCTCGCTCCACCCAAAGAGAACCGCCCTCCGCAGATGCCGAATGATCCTGCGATATTAGGAGTACGTACAATCTGACTACACGCACCCTATCCCCGCATTCCATGATGAAAGACTTTTGGATGTTAAACACAATTTCTACCGATGGCGCAAAAACCATGTGGATATCTCCAGTTGCCTTCCTTCTGATCAATCTTGACACTCGCTGCATATTGCTTCATTCTCGCTGTGAAGTATATCTCGACTGACGCTTTGAGCAGACGGGAGAACCTACTCAGTCTTCCCAACCACAGCAACAACAGCATCAACCCCCTCAACATCCTAATCAATTCCATGGCCCGCAGCCTCCGTATCAGCAACATCCCAATCAATTTGGATATCAAGGACCACCGCCCAATCAGTTCCAACCGCCGCCTCGCTTTCAAGGCCCTGGCGGCCCTCATGGCTTTCCCGGTCAGCCCGGCGCTGTGCCTGGCTACATGGGATTTCCACCGCCAGGCTACAACCCCATGGGCTTTGGACCTCCTCCAGGTCCCGGGTTTCCGCCTGGCGGCCCACCAGGAGGCTTCCCTCCCCATCATCAGCCAATTGGTCCATCTGGCCAGCAAATGAACCAGCAGCGACCGCCTCAGCAAATGCCAGGACAGCCACAACAAGGACAGCCACAACAGCAGCAAGCGCCTGTTGGTAGCAAGCAGAACACTCCTCAGCCTCCTTCACAGGGCCCTCGAGCGCCCCCCTCACAACCCCAAACTAGGCCCACCGAGCTGTCCAGCACGCCCACACCTCCTCAACCTCCGCTCGAGTCGAAGCCACCTGCTGCTGCCGCTACCGCACCGTCCGCTGCGTCCCAAGTTCAGCAACAACCTCCCCCACAGAAGCCATCGCAAAAGATTAACAATCGAGTTGCAGTTCCACTGGCGGCAGGCACACCGGCTGCAGCTAGACAACAGCAGCCGAAACCTGCCGCCCCAACTTCAGCACCTGCGCAGCAACAGCCAGCGCCTGTCGCCCAGCCGGCGACCACAGCGACCGCTACAGAAGCTGCCACGGCTGCCGTTGCTGCAGCTATGGCTAAGCTTGGTGCGCAGAATCAACAAGCAGGCGCAGTGGACAATTTGACACAGAAGGTGAACCAGATGAGAGTACAGGACGGCCAGACGAGAGGGCGTGGGCGTGGACGCGGTGGGCCGAGGGGAGGAAGACGCGAAAGCGCACAGAAGAAGGTTGAGGTCCCTCAGGAGGACTATGACTTTGAGACTGCGAATGCGAAGTTCAACAAGCAGGATCTCGTCAAGGAAGCAATTGCTTCGGGCAGTCCGTTGGCAAGCCCAACGAATGGAGCAACACCAGATCCCCTCGCATCGGCGATCAATGGCCATACCGATGGCGCGGACGACGTGGCGATCCCACCCAAGCCCTCCGAGAAGGGCTATGACAAGAAGTCCTCATTCTTCGACAACATCAGCAGCGACCTGAAGGATCGCGTTGAGCAGCAGTCACAGTTCGTGGATGGACGAGAGATGCGTCGTGAGGAGCGCAGCAAGAACATGGAGACCTTCGGCCAGGGTAGTGTGGACGGGGGGTACCGAGGCCGAGGTCGTGGTCGTGGACGTGGACTCGGCGGTCGTGGAGGACGAGGGTTCTACGGAGCTCGTGGTGGCTATGACAACTCTCGAGGCGCCGGCCCGCGAGGGCGCGGAAGAGGAGGTGCCGAGGCCGCAGCGGTCTAGTTGGCAACATAGCCCTTTCGACACCCGCGACATGCCACTAGTGTGTGCATGCTGTACTATAGGTAACGAGCCCTACGACAGGGAAAACGATGCAGAAAGACGAGACGATTACCTGCCAGTTGGCGGTCAAAAGCACCCCGAAGAATTTCTTGATTTGATATCATTTTCTTGTCATTTGCTGAATCTCGCAAGGTCGCCAACTCTTTATTGAAGAGGAGTCTCGTGTGCTGCGTTGGCTCAGTACCACAGGTATCTGTAGTGGCCTCATCATTCATGCTGTGTCGCACAGGCGTATAACTTGGTCCGTGCTTGGCGCTAAGTTGGACACCTCACGCGCCTGACGCGATCCGTACGTGACCCTTTCTGTTTCTTCCAATCCCTTCCACTTTCCTTCACACATCGGGGACACTTTGCCCTCATACCAACCGCAATCAGATGTCATGGATACGCCTTCGATCTTATCGCTGCTGGTGGAGCTGCAAGAATGGATTATCTCCCAGATCTCCGACAAGTCGGACCTCAGCGTTCTTCTGCCTGACATGCAAAGCGCCCCGCGAGCTTGCAATGCCTCGTCTCTACCACGACATGACCATATACCTGGCTCAAGGGCGTATCAAGCCGAGGCGAAGCTTGCGATTCGATCATCCTGGCCATCGGCGCATACGGGTCCTTTTCGTTAAGAGCATGGCTGAGCAGCGTCATCGATGAAGGCTTTCAGATCGATCTTTCAGGTCCTCCCAAGAGATATCCTGGCGGAATTGAGTGTATTCCGCGCAATTTATCTCGACTTCGAATCCATTTTCGTGCTTTTCCGACGTGTGCCACACAGCTTGCTCCAGCTGAGATTTCTAGCGCACAATCCCAAAGACGGTAGGGTAGGTAAATCTCGAAGTTTTTCCGACTTCTCACGTGGCCGTCAGCGAGTTCGACGGAAACACCCGACTACTTTCGCTACTTGCGATGTTTGGACGACTTCGCGTCTTACGTTGTTGGTGTCTTGCACGCCTTCCGCCCGAATGAAACCGAAAAAGTTGAAGTTGGTGGCCATCGGTGATTCTCAGTACGGCAGAGGCAGTGGTGCGCATATTGGGGGGCCACGTGTTCAAACACATGCCAGCTGCTTACTATCTCCCTGGAAAGCAGCTCGATCGTCTTGGTGTGCCTCACCCGGTCGCGATGCCGGTTGATGAGAGTCGGGTCAAACACGAAGTCCCTTTTTTATGGCGCTATACATCTGGAGCGAAATTTTTTCGAGTATGAGGACGGAATCGGGATCGATGACTATGGTCTGAGAGGCCAAGGTTTCCACCTTTAGGGTCTCGTGCAGAATCGCTGTGCAGCTATTGCTTATGATCCACCGCGTGGTAATGCCGTTTCTGCTTTGTCTCGGGTACTATGCTATTACGGATAGATTGTAATCGCCCAAGCCTAGCCCATTATCGACGAGACGGGGTCCGATGTCGACAACAGCATCCCACAAAGGCAGATCATATTTGACCAATTTCGGGTCTTGGTAAATCGCGACAGACTTTTCCCGCCCAAAGCAGTCTCGCTGCCGACCGGGATAGTAGCACATGGGAGCAGTGAAAGTCTGAGGCTCAAGGGAGTCCCTACTCAGTGTGTCTTCGTAGATTTCGGCTCTCCCAAAGCAGAGCAATCGTAGTTTCGGATTCTGATTTGTTTCGAAGAGGCGATTGATCGTGAGTGTGGCCATGGCATCAACTAAGCGTGCAAATCTCCTCGTGTCTTGATCGCCCTCGTCGCCCTCCTCGTCATGCAACCGGTCGACTGGCAACGTTAAAATTCGCAAAATCTCTAGATCGGGCAAGGCAAAAATCGCCCTCTTCGAATAGTCAGCCTCCGACATCGAGACTCAAAAGGAGGTACACTTATGGGTATTAGCGCACGCTACAACATCTACACCACTTCTCGCAGGGAAAAAAATCTCATTCATCAGACGTCTTCCTGCATGCGATAAATCTTCCAGCCAGCCGTGGCGAGGACTCGGGGTACACATTCGACCATGACGCGATCCACGTCCTTCCAATCCTGCGTGAGATCCTTCCACGGTACGAGGAAAGGCGTCGTCCGCTTGCTGGAGCTTCGCGGTCCCATTCGCCACTGGCGCTGCAGGCGCTCGGCGTTGAAGCGCTCATGCTCCATCTCGGACAGCATATCCAGCTCCTCGGTGGTGAAGGCCGGCACGTGCACCAGAGGCTCGTTGCGATCTTGGTCGAGCATGAAACAACTGACGGCTCGCAGCTTGCGTGGGATGTCATCCGCTTGCGATCGTGTAGATTCCTTCAACTCGGGCGCAAGTTCATCCCAGTCGTATAATGATGGATCCGACTCCAGTGCTTCTTTCTCCTCGGGCGTGCGTGCCATTGCGTGTCGCTGGATTTTGTACGCCTCAAAGAGACCTTGGGCTAGCCTCTCTCGTAATGTGGCTGGAAGTTTGGGCGATCGGAGGAAGCTCATAAACGTCCTGCCGTCGACGTGAAGCTGTATCTGCTCTTCCGGAGGAAGTGCGGAGACGTCGAACTTGAATCTGCCAGAAAGTCTGCTTGTGCTGAGGATCTTATCCAGTGATCGCAAGCCGTGCTTCAAAGAAGGTACAAGGAGCAGTGCATGCAAGACGGCCTCATCGATCTTGATCATGCCATTCTTGTCCAGGTGTGGAAATTTGCCCTTCAGCATCTGCCTGAGCATCAACGCGCGTCTAATGCTGAACATCTTATCGTGCATGCCTGTTTGGTTAGGCCCTGCTATCCGCACCACGCCATGGGAATGGTCAAGTAGTAGAGAATCATCAACGGTGCGCCGTTCTCTGAATTCCGATGCTGTCGGTGTGGGTGTGCCGTCCATAGTCGGAGGCTCTTGATTGACAAGGAAGAAAAGAAGCGGACGGCCAAGTGATCGAACATGACCTCGGTCACTAAACGAACCGTCACGCATGATCGCCAGAAAGTCGTTGAGGAGCTCGTGCTTTGGATTCAGAATGGCCTCGAAGTTCTCAAAACACACCACGGTCAGATGACCTGTCGCAGTGTGATCGCGGATAGTATGGCACAGCGCGATAAGATCCTCCTGGCGCAACAGCCGCGCATTGAAAGTCAGTTGTTTGACGTCGTCGTTGACAGAAAAGTGCTGTGCAAGATTGGATGCGACGAATTTTTTGCCCGAGCCGTCGCGCCCTAAGATGGCAATCGAAGTTGGTTGGCCAGTCTCAGAGCGCAGTCGCTCCTCGACGGCACCAACCACAGCACGGAGGCTCTCTTGCTCATTCCTTTCTACGCTGAGCAATTGCCCAAATCTTTGAACTGGGCATCGACCGAGAGCTTTCTCGGGTCCAAGAGTGACGATTTGCCTCGCGACTTCAGCGGGATCACCAGTGACGGCGTCGAAGATGTTCCAGCTGTCGCCAGAACTTATTCGGCCAGAAGGAACGCTTACGACGGCAAATCTCTTTTCCGGGGCAAGTGTGTCAACCGTTGCATCAATAGGATAGTCTGGTGCTTCATCAATCGGATTCGATACGAAGCCAGTGCTGTCCATGTCTCGCGCCGCTGAAATTCCCAGGCGAATTGCCCTTTCGCAATTAGGAGGCGAAGAGTCCGCGAAGCCCAATGCAAAGCCTGCAGTGAATGCAGAAGCGAGGCCAATCTATGTTGCTATCAGAAGTTTGTTCCTACCGCGGCGAGGATGTACAAACCATGTGACCTCCTTCTAGGGTAGACATGTCTTTTTCAATTGATCGCGGGTGGAAGTAGAGCTTGGGATCAACAGCGTCTCGCCCACGATGATGGATTAATCCTTCGTTCCCAAATCTGACAATGAGATTGGGGCACGTTACTAAGGTGTCAAGACGTCCGTTCGAGCCCAGGTTGCGCACAAAGTCCTCGGTCGTAGCTTCCCAAGAAAGCGATCGACTTAGCGATATGCCTTCTGCTCTCAAATCTTTCGCGTCGATGATCACAGCTAGATGGTCCGGATCCGGAATGCCTTCGCGGATTCGAGGTCCGTCTCGAATGATGTCCCACAGCGGTCCAGTCGCAAGAGGCCTTGTCATGTGATGAATGATGTAGCGAGGTCGGATCCGCTGCAAGAAGTCCAAGGCCGGCTCGACGTCATGAAGCGCCTCGCCCGAGCCGGAGATGATCACGGTGCTGGCTTTAGCAGCCTCAGCCTGTTCCACGGGGGGAGAGTGCCACACCGGAGGTTTGCCGATTTGCCTTTTGCGAACTACGCGAAGTGAAGAGAAGGGACCGTCGTTGGACTCCCGGCGGCCTAAATCCACAATGGAGGAGGCGTTGTGCTTCAGACAAGTGGACCGTGGCGGTTGGAGGGCCGGCCCAAGTACTTCAAACCCCCATTGCGGCGCGGCAGCGGTGAGCAGCTGAGCCACCAGATCGGCTGCGCCTGTCCGGATGACGAGCTGCGATGCATCTTCGCCGTCAGCCGAGATGGACGTGGAGGTCCCGTCGGGAGTATTCATGTCGGGATAGACGAGGTAATCGTAGGAAACCACTCCGGCCACGACCAAAGCATGCGACACGGGGACTGTCATCTGTGTCGGAGAGTCGCCAGGCAAACGCGGCGTAGTGGTTTGCTTGTATCCCGCATAGCGAATGCGACTCGCAGACTAGACGTATCCTCTGGTCGCGAAGGTCGAGATCCTGTGAGGCTTAGACAGCGGGAGCGGCATCAGATCTGGTGGGCGGAGGGAAAAGGAGAGTGCAGTGGTGAAGACACAGCCACGCGCTATGGAGAGGTCGTGTGGTCAACTCCAGTGTGGGCGGGCCCACCCGACTAGACCGGCCGAGCTCCGGCTGTCTTCCAATTGACTAGGTAGCGACAAGACGATGGATGTTACGGCTAGACCGCCTTCAATCCGAATCAAATCTTGGCGGACGCCTGGGTAACACAATGTCGTCCTGAACACGCTCAGATCGGACGGCAGCATGCTATCACATCGTCCACAATCGCCGTCTCCGCCTGCATGAAGTGAAAAAGAGTCTAGCCAAGCGGACAGCTCATCGTGCATGACCATTAGCCACCGCCGCTCAGCTCTCAGCCCACACCGTCTGTTCGCACCTCTAGAGGTGTAGTAGAAACAAGACACAGGCGTTGTTTGGCGACCGTGCAACTGCAACACGCTTTGAGCTACCGGACCTTTCTGGAATGCATAAGGCTGTCGTACAGTGCCAAGGTGCGATCCGATTGTGTAGCCTGCGAATTCCGTTCCGATGGAGCTGCAGAAGTTCGAGATCAGCGACTCGAGGCTGGAGGTGTAGCATACTCCATCACCGCCCAATAAGACCATGCACCGACTGACAGTCGGCAGCACAACAATTGGCAATTCCCAAAAACCCTCAAGACGAGACCTCTGCGAAAGCTAGATGAAGAAGACTTCCTCACCAACCACAAAGTAGGGCATTGGCTCGACGCACTTGTACGGAACGCTGACATTCGCACAGATCGACAGAAGCTATGACGATAGTACTGTCCGCTTTAAACTGCTGTAAGGATGTCGAGAGCAGCCGGGTCTGCTAGGAGACTGACTGTGATCGACAGCGTCGCGGGTGCCGTCCGTGCCAATCTAACAGACCAGAACAATCTTCCCTTCAGTACAGAAATCATGACCATTATCAAGCAGCAGGGCTGGATCTCCGACGAGTATCAGCATCTGTGGCGGCGTGACGAGGGTGGCTCTGCCGCTCTGACTTCGCATGGAATCCTCAGTGAGAATGAGCCTCCAGTGGCATTTGCCTTTACACAGTGCTGATAGGATCCACTAGCGTTCATGCTCCAGACGCCCAGAGATTCGCGATCGTTCTGCTCGTTATCGCTGGTCAATCGAGAGAAGACGCACTGCGGTGGTCTACTTGTCGCAGATGACTACTACAGCCTGAATGCCCTGTTGGCCTCTCAGCAGTATCTGAACAAACATCCCAAGGTGCCGCGAGACTTCGCCGTGTTACCCTTCCACATCTTGGTCCGACATGTAGATGAGACGCTTGGCCAGGTCCAGGAGCTGTCGCGGCATATCACCTCGACGGAGAAGAGGATTGCGGATGGCAAGATTTCGCTTGAAGACAATGGTGACTACAAGCTCCTGAACCGACTGAACTTGGAGCATGTGAGGCTCCAGCGGCGGTCAGATTTTGAGCTGGATCTTGCAGCGAATCTTTTGAAGTATCTCGAATCCTATCTCCGACTTTGGACGCATCTGTGGGAAGGCGGCACCAGCTACGTCGATGACATGCGCGAGAAAGTTGAGCAGCAGATGCGGTATTCCGAGCAGGTCCAGAAAGACCTGAGGATGATGCCTAGAAGGATAGACAATCAGTCGCAAGCGGTAAGTGGTGAGCGCACCTGCAAGCCAAGTTCATGCTGATGGGAATGGCAGCTGTTCAACATCATTGCCATGAGGGACAATAAGCTGAACATCTCGCTGGCGGAAAGCTCGAAGAAGATCGCGGAAGAGAGTCGGCTGGACAATCTTCTGAGCGTGAAACTGGCGAAAGCGACTGCGGAAGTGGCAGAGCAGACGAGACAAGATAGTGCGGCGATGAAGACAATTGCGGTGCTGACTCTGACCTTTCTTCCTGGGACTGCGGTGGCGGTAAGTCGACTATGTCTCTCACTTTCCGGGGTGTCACTGACGCTGTGGTTCAGTCTTTCTTTAGCATGAACGGCATGTTCAATTGGGATCCGTCCGAGGGACAGTCGCTCGCGTCACCGTATCTGTATGTGTTCTTCGTGGTCACCGTACCACTGACGGTCCTCGTGTACATCGGCTGGTGGTGGTGGTTCCGGCGAATGCAACAACAGTACCAGAAGCAGTACGAAGATAGCGACTTCGCGACGGTGGAACAAGACCTCATGCGGCGGATGAGGACGGCGACGAATTCGTTTCCGGCGCAGAAGCACGCGACCTCTGGATGATGCCAGTGGCATGGATGTAGAAGTCGAGAGGAGAGTGGAAAAGTGGTGGATCGTTACCGATTCCAATGAAAGTCACCACCGACGCAGCTGCTCGTGCTGTGCTGTGCTGTGCTTGTGCCTGTATCTGTGCCTGTGCTTGTGCTTGTGCAAGTGTCGACGGCAGGCCCGAGCATTCTCATCCAGAATAGAAGCACAGAAGGGTGAGAAGGCCGAAAGGGGAATGGAAAGGTGCGTGCAGTGGCAGTGATTGGCCATGGATGAGTTCCCAGGTATGCGTCGTCAGCTGGGTCGTCGCTCTGCTCTGCGCGCGATGAGTGACGAGTGGAGAGGACAATGCCAACAATGCGTCCCACGACGCGCTCCCAACGTGACGTCGCCGCCATTCTATACGAGAGCGCCTCACGTCTGCGAAACTCGGGCAGCCCGTCCACGAATCCATAAGATAGATGCCGTGAGAACGGGTACGGCAGCTACCACATACCTTAGGTACTAACCTCACTATGACTACACAGACTAGCTACGGGGATGCGGGCCAGCGGCCTCTAGCAGGGGGTGCGCACGTGATACAGGGATCTGCTCGTGAGGCTGTGTCGCGGCGCGAGCCTATACCGACCCTGAAACGGGAGGCCTGCCCCTCGGATACCTTACCCGTCGGGCGTGAGCTGGGGACCACCTCACAATGGACGGCTGAAAGGTACATATCTCTCGGGACGGACGAGGTGTCGAGAGCTCTTCACTGCAGTCTCTCCCCATTCCGCACCTCCCTCCACCCTCCCACATGGCCAGTCTGGTATTTGACCCCTTCGAGGCCCTAGGACTTCCTCGAGATGCCTCCACGGCCGCCATCAAGACGAGATATCACGACCTTGCGAGGAAATACCACCCGAATCGAACCATCGTCCCGCCGGGAGTCGAGGGATCACAGCAGACATCCCACGAGCATTTCCATAACGTTCACCAGGCATGGCAGATATTGAGCAAGGCGGAGAATAGACGGAGACGCGTGGAGCTTCTCAACCTGCTCGACCTTCAAGATGAGATGCTTGCTCACTACGAAGACTTGTTGAGCGAGGCAGCTACTGCAGACCAAGAGGATACCTCCCCAGAACGCCATCGTGGAGCTGAGCTAGAGGGATACATATCGAGCGACGCCGACGAAGATCTGCCCAATGTCGGTATCCAACGAAGGCAGACCGTCCTCTCACGCGAGTCTCGCGGAGCCAGACGCCTTGCAGAGCGCCGCGAGAGCCTCGACGCGGGAGGTGCTCCCAACTCGCCCAAGAAGACTAGCAAATGGCACCTGATCAAATCCTCCAGCAAGCCCATTGGGAGGAGGGATGAACAGAAAGAGGCCGACTATTTCACGCTACGCCGCAAGAAGATGGAGAAACTACGTCGGAAGGAGCTGGAAGCATTCACCGAATATCGCAATGCCATGGTAGCCAAGTTTGCGGCTGAAGAGAAGGCAGAGAAACACCATGAAGAATACGAGAGGGCAAAGTGGAGGCGCGAGTACTTCGAGCGTGCTCCTCGCGGAACAACAGAGCGCATGCGGTCGTTCCAGCATTTCATGGGAGCAGTCACAGCTTTCGAGCAACATACTCCGCGGCAAAGGAACCGCTCGACGGTCAGCTATTCAACAATGTCCCCTGTTGTCGCGCAGGGAGAGGGCCCTTCGTTTCTTATTCCGGATCATGCGCTTGGCCGACAGAAGACCACGCACCGAAGAGGGTGGAGTAGTGATATTAGTGGCGATCAGACCGAAAGCAGCGAGGATGAATCTGGCGAGGCTCATGGCCCTAAAACTCCTCCCACGCATTGGCATGAGTATTCCAAACGCAACAAGAGTCTCCACTTCGCTTCATTTCCCTTTCCTCGCATGCACAACGCAAATTTGGTCAGCTCACAAGAACCTGCATCATCGTCACCAGGTCCCTTCAAGCTACTTGTTCGACGGCCGACAGACCTCGGCTCTATCGTCGAAGCACGTGACTCCAGCGGCGAGACTGTCTCTGGATCTTCGAGGTCTCCCTCGCCATGTCCCTCGCCACAGGCGAATGGCGCGAGCGCCCTCGAGCTGGGAAAGTTCACCATCGTACGCTCAAATGACACCGCCGACCTCTTTGGCATACCAAACGATCGATGTACTCGATCGCCGAGCCCAGGCGCGCATCGGCGCTCTGCCTCACCTGGCCGCCGTGCCCACGACAATGCTGTTGGAGAAGGATGCCAGTTTGCCACTAAGCAGTTAGGTGCGCCGCAGCACCAACAAGTGCCCTTCGCCCACGTCCACCTCCTGACTCGCCACGACAAATCGCGTCTACTGGGTTCAGAGCCAGACACTGATACCGATCCTGAAGCGCTGCTTGTTCGCCTTCGTCTGTTGAACCAGCACGTGGCTTCGAGATTCGAGGTGAAGCCGAACATGGAGCAGCTCTTCAACTTCAGACTTATCTATGGGAGCAGAGAGGTGACTCCCAGACAGCATCAATCCTTCATTGCGCTCAGCTACCGGCGCAAGCTGCACGTAGAGAAGCATCAGTATCACTTCACATTACCTTTGGAGCCTGAGATCTTCCAAGCCGTGTGGGACGAGCGTCAATCAGACACTGAAGGCGTTTGGATAGATCAAATATGCATAGACCAAGAGGACGACATGGAACGTACCATATCGATGTCCGCGATGGACATGGTGTACAGGAGTGCTCGGCTGATCGTGGTTGCTTTGGACGATATCGAACTTACCGCCTACGAGGGAGCGCTCCTGCAAAACCATATGGACGAATACAATGCGATGACCCATGTCCCTCCAAGGCAACGATTTCGACATAAGCAGCCGCCGTATCTGGAGAGTCATGAGAGTCTTTACAAGATCGTTCGGAAAGTTCTGGGCTCTTCGTGGTTCAGAAGAGCTTGGTGTAGACACGAGATGAGGCTTGCCAAGCATCACATCTTCCTAATCCCCAGCCAAAGTAAGAATTCCTCGGTAAGGGACGTGCTAAGGTTCAACAGCAAATGCATCGCACATCTACTGGATCTCTCGACGGAGGTGCCCTTCGAACCAGAAGTGGAGTCCGTCAAGCCGGCACTACATGCATTCTTTCGCGATAGGAGCAAGATGACACCTGATCAGCGTCAAATGCACCTACACCATGGCAACTTCTCTACGGTAGTTGCCGAGGTATTCGCTATGCAGGCTGGTGGTGATCCACGTATACCGGCGGAGCAGAGACTGTCTGATGCGAGAAAAGACAAGGTTGCCATCATATTGAACACCATGGAGTGTGGGCTGGCGCTGCAGCAGCGCTTTCGATTGAATGGCGCCTACAACAGGGACAGCGAATGCTTCCACGACCTCTCGCTGCTGGCACTCGCAGCCCGAGACCCTGGTGTTCTATGTTCTGTGGGGGCACCGCTTGTGGTTGACGAAGCTGTCGGCAGTTGGATCTTCTCACCAACCGTCGCAGATGCCGGCCTAAATAACACGAAGACTCTGCCGCGGCTCCCGAGCGACTTCAATTGCGTGACGAAGACTTCGGGAGCAGAACATTTCATCCAACTCGATCTGAAGTTCTTGCAAGGTGGAAAGGCTTGGCGACCGACGTTGGATCCAGACCAGGACCTGCTCAGGTTGGCTACGCGCTTCACCAGTGTGTGCAAAGAGCGGAAATGGGGCCGAAACAGAAAGCGGTACCTGACGCACGATCGAAAGGCCAACCTACTCTTTGGGCCTATGCAAGAGGTCTATGTGGAGACTCTGGCGTGCATATTGTACTGTGGCCCGGACTGGATGGGCGATGTGTGCATGAGATACAGCATGAGCCGATGGAAAGTCGATCTTCGAGGGGCTTGCGAGCTCCTCATTGCTCTCAAGAATACCGATGGCAAATGGCCGGAGTCAGCCTGGAATGAACGCGCCGCCAGCTTCATTATGGACTTTGTGAACTTCCTGGTCATTCGTGGTCTGCCGCAGCGTCAAATCTCGAAACCCGAGCAATGGAGACCGTGCTGCGTGACCATGCCGACAGGAGGGAGGGTACTGACCTTCACTCCCGTCGACCGAAGCGTACGGCCGGCGATCCCATCCGTCCTCATCAATCCGGAGTACGTCCACCTGGCGCGACTCTGGATCCTCAAACCGAAAATCACCTCTACTTCTGACCACCACCACCACGACGACGAACACGTGGTGGACGCGATTTCCGCCATTTCCGAATGGACCCTACTCGGCAAAGCCGTGCTCTTTAGCGATGAATTGTCGATTGGGCAAATGTATGCATATGGAGGGGATTTCAAGGAGCAGCAGAAGGTCTATGGACGACACCGCCAGATGTCCTCGTCCTCCTCCTCTTCCACCTCTTCCAATGGCGTCGTTATTCGTGGAAAGACTTCGCGATGAAAAAGGATAGATACCCCTGTACGAATAGTTGTGGCATTTGTGTGTATGTGTGGAGTTTTTTGTTTTTGTTATGGTCATACTAGAATAATGTGTATTGAGATGGGGTTGGATGGATTGTTGAGATTTGAGGCCATCTCTTTCTTTCACATCAGCCGAGGTTTACTATACTGCCGTCTGCCGTATCTTATCATCGTAATCTATCGTTGTAGTTGATCATTGTAGGTGGCCTGAGTAATGGACGCCGGGAAGCATGTGAATGCGGATCCTGACGGCGACTGTGACGAAAAGTACGCGCAGACGCAAGGCAGCGTGCTGCAGATTTCTTGTTTTGCAAGAGCTCTCAATTCCGGTTAATCAACAATGCGAGCTCAAGGGAGACGGAATCGGTGTCCGCTCGGATGAGTGAGCGAAGATAACACACATAGGCCACATCCGATCAGGTCCGATCAGATCAATTGAAATCCGTCGTCAGATCAAAAAAATTCAAGATGCCCTCGCTCACCAATGGAACCCGGGCGACGCGACCTTCCTTCACGGAACGAATACCGACCTTCCCATCGTACTACAGCTCGCGCAAGAAGCCGCGTCGCTGGCCTCTGGTCCTCCGCTTCATCAAGGGCGCCATCCACATCGACATCGCCCTCCCCGTCATCGGCCACGCCCTCTTCTCCACCGCCATCTGCTACTTCGACTCCTACCATGGCGGCCACCTCGCCATCCCCAGCACCACCCTGCCCTCCCTCTCCATCGTCGTCGGCCTGATGCTCGTCTTCCGCAATTCCACCTCCTACGACCGCTTCTGGCAGGGCAACCAACTCTTCACCCAGGTCGAGACCAACATCCGCAACCTCGTCCGCTCCTTCCTGGCCTGCTCCTACGCCCTCCACGGCCCGCCGCCCTCGGACGCAGAGCGCGCGGACACCGAACGCACCGTCCGCATCACGCTGGCACTGATCTACGCCGCCAAGAACCACCTGCGCGCCGAATGGGGCCACGCCATCCCCATCCTCGGCCTGCCCTCCACCGCCAGCACCCGGCGCAGCGAGCGCGAGCGCCGCGAGAGCGTCTCCGTCTTCAAGCCCGAATACGACCACCTGCTGCCCAGCGGCACGCGCGGCCACGAGGAACACGGCCTCGGCCTCGTCCTGCAGCTCTCCATCCAGGTGGAAGCGTACATCAAACGCGCGCACGATCGCGGCTGGTTCCACGCCCCCCAGGCGTCCCAGTTGACCGTCCAGCTCAACTCCCTCGTCGCCGCCTACGGCTCCATGGAAACCATCCACCTCACCCCCCTACCCGTCGCCTACCTCATCCACATGCGGCAGGTCCTCGCGCTCTTCTGCGGCGTGCTGCCCTTCGCGCTGGTCTCCGAGATGGGCTGGTGGTCGATCCTCATGGTCAGCTTCATTGCCTTTACCCTCTACGGCATCGAAGCCATCGGCGCGCAGTTGGAGGATCCGTTTGGCTATGATCGGAACGATATCAAACTGGATAATATCGTCGAGGATCTGCGGACCGAAGTTACCGTTTTGCTGGAGAATTGGAAGAGGGATGGGGATCTATTCAAGCAACATACCAGTGCGCCGAGGCAGTGAGATGATGTCCTTCCAAACCTTTTCAAGCGGGGCGTCGCGGAGTAGGGCTGAGGTGTAGAATGGTAGCTAGATGGACGTCTGTGAATTCGACCTTCTGCTGTCACGTCATTTGAGCGTCAAAGGAGCTGAGTATGGGTTGCATGTGACATGATACAGTTGATGATACAGTTGATGTTGAATTAAGGCCATTCTCTTCTTTACCATTGCTCAATCGCCATGAGGCGAGCTATCGAAACATTCTATCATCAGAGACGTAAACGCCTTGCCATGCTAATTCTCAGCAACCCCAGCGTGCTACATAGAGCACTCGAGGGCTGCCCAATGCCCCAGTCAGCCGTCCAAGAGCGAGATGCCCAACCAGATCCTTTCGCTTAGTCGTAGAGATCCTCTTCGCCAGCGCCTGCAGTACGTGTTAGCATCTTGTCATCACATATCAACAAGGGTCATCGGCCTTACCGTTCTGCTGCTGGGCCTCGCCGCCGTTGGCGCCGTCCTCGGGGAAGCGGAAGAACGCGCTGCCACCAGCGCTGGTCTTCATGCTCTGGGCAAACGCCTCGTAGCGCCGAATCTCCGTGTCCGTGACCGAGCGACGAGCCATGCTCATCGCCTCCTCAAAGTGCTTCTTCGTCAGCTCTGGCACCGGGTCTTCCTCCTCAATGTCCTCCTCCATCTTCGTGTCGTCCCCGGCCGCGGCCTCGCGCGCCTTCTCCTTCTCGATGGCGATGCCGATGCTCTCCTTGATGGCGAGCTTGACGGCGCGCTGGGTGATGAAGCCCAAGTCGGCACCGGAGAAGCCGTGGGTCTTCTGCGCGATGTACGACAGGTCGACATCGGGTGCGACCGGCGTCTTGCGGAGCTGAGCCCGCAGAATGCTCTCACGGCCGGGCTGATCGGGCAGCGGGACGTAGACGAGCGTGTCGAGACGACCTGGACGGCACAGAGCATTGTCGAGCTGCTCTGGTCGGTTAGTAGCGCCGATGACGAAGACGTTCTTCTTGCTGGTCATGCCGTCCATCTCGGTCAGGAGCTGGTTGACGACACGATCGGAGGCACCACCTGCGTCGCCGACGCTACCGCCACGGGACTTGGCGATGGAATCCAACTCATCCAAGAACACCACGCAAGGAGCGGCTGCGCGGGCCTTGTCGAAAATGTCACGGATGTTGCTCTCCGACTCACCGAACCACATGGAGAGAAGCTCGGGTCCCTTGACCGAGATGAAGTTGGCAGCGCACTCGTTGGCGACGGCCTTTGCGAGCAGCGTCTTACCAGTTCCAGGTGGTCCGTAGAAGAGCACACCGCGAGATGGGCTGAGACCGAACTTGAGGAACTTCTCGGGGTGGTCCACGGGGTACTGCACGCTCTCGATGAGTTCGCGCTTGACGTCCTCAAGACCACCAATGTCTTCCCACCGCACGTTCGGTACCTCGACGACGGCAACCTCGCGCAGAGCGCTTGGGTTGCTGACACCGAGAGCGAAGCGGAAGTTCTCTTGCGTGACACCCAGGCTGTCGAGCACCTCAGCGTCGATGGTATCCTCGTCCAGATCAATCAGGTCCATCTTCTCACGGATCTGCTGCATGGCGGCCTCCGAGCAGAGGGATGCAATATCGGAACCAACATATCCGTGAGTCTCAGCGGCAATTTGCTCGAGGTCGACATCGTCGCCGAGCTTCATGTTCTTGGTGTGGATCTGCAGAATCTCGAGACGTCCGGTTGGGTCAGGAATGCCGATGTCGACTTCTCGATCGAAACGGCCGAAACGACGAAGGGCGGGATCGATGGAGTTGGGGCGGTTGGTCGCGGCCATAACAACGACGTTGGAGCGAGCCTTCATACCGTCCATGAGGGTGAGGAGCTGAGAGACGACACGACGCTCGACCTCACCGTTTGTCTTCTCACGCTTGGGAGCAATCGAGTCGATTTCGTCGATGAAGATAATGGCCGGGCTGTTCTTCTCCGCCTCCTCGAAAGCTTTCCGCAGATTGCTCTCCGACTCACCAGCCATCTTTGACATGATCTCGGGACCGTTGATGAGGAAGAAGAAGGCACCAGTCTCGTTTGCAACAGCTCGGGCCATGAGAGTCTTACCGGTACCCGGTGGACCATACATGAGGATACCACGCGGAGGCTTGATACCGATGGACTTGAAGAGCTGAGGATGTCTCAAAGGCAGCTCGACCAACTCACGCACCTGAGCCATCTGCTTCCGGCAGCCGCCGATATCATCGTAGCCGACCTCGTTCAAGTTGCCCTCCTCATCTTCACGCTGAATAGGGTCGCCTTCGCAGTGGATGACGGTATCTTGGGCGACGATGCCGTACTCTGGAGGATCAATCTCGACGACCTTGAACTCGACGGTGCGCATGGCAGCGCGGCATGTGAAAAGGTCGCCTTGTCGTAGGGGACGGTAGGCTTCGCGGAAGTATGGAGCGAGGAAAACGTCGAAGAGGGAGCCAGTGAGGCCCTCGATGGTATCGGCCATCGGGAGGACGGCGATGCGCTTGGCGTACTTGATGTCGGGACACGGGTTGACTGTGACAACGTCGCCCAGCTTGACGCGCAGGTTGTGTCGTACCACGCGGTTCATGCGCGCTGAGCCATCCTCCAGGTCATCATCGGCGAGGACGATGAGCACGGTATCCTTTCGCTTCTTGCCCTTGACGAGGACGGTGTCACCACGGAACAGCTGCAGCTGCTCCATGGTGTTGTTGGATAAGGAAATGATGGAGTTGTCATCGGTCGTGGCGTCGGTGACTATGAGGCTGTTTGGCTTCTTCTTCTTCTTGAGGATGGCCGTTGCCACCTCGTCCTCCTTCTTCTGCTCGGCGCCCGAGGGGTCATTGTCGAGCTTGACCTTGCTCTTGCCCTGCGAGTGCTCTGGCTCGGCAGACATGGTGATGGACTATGGGTGCTGTCGTGTGATACTATCCGGACAACGCAAGCTGAAGCGCCGATGGAGTGGCGGGTGTGGAGCTGTGGAGGGAGCGGCAGTCGAGGCCGTCAGCGGAGGTGTGGTGGATGCAGCGGTGATGGTCGAGGTGGAGGCAGCGGTGGTGGTTAATGGGTGGGAGAGGATGAAGGTGTGTGGGTGGAAGTGGTTTGTCGGAGGTTGAGAGTCGAGAGTTGTTGTCTTGTACCTGAGGCGGACGAGCGAGCGACAGCACTAGCTTCTTTCGGAGACGTCACTGTGAAGCTCGAGCCAGCTTGCTTCTCACTCGCTTGAGGTTGACTCGTGACTCGTCCTCTCCGCAACAGTCAGCAGCACTTCCCGCCCGTGGAATCTCGTCGTCAACAATCGAATCACCCTCGATTCGCGCCTCATTCTCACTCTCCATTCTCATTCACCAACACCATCCATCTGCTCGCACGTGACGCTCCAGCAACATCCGAGATTCACCTCGCCACTGCACGTCGGCGAATAATACTCGCCATGGGGCACATGTTCGGTATGGATCCCTATGGTACAATGTACCTCGGACACGGCTGTTCAGGATGCATCACATGTAACCCGATATCGTGCATAGCCTTCGACGTCTCATCAGGAGCTCAGAAAAAGTATTCCAGGGACTTATCAGCCAGGCAGGCAGCCGCTGGAGAGTTGGTACAGACCACCAACTTGAATGGCAGTGCGTCAAGAGTTTCCGAGCTGTAGGACGTCACGAGGCGTAGGCATGTCACACGCAGGGCTTAACATCGCTCATGGCGAACGTACACTGAGCTAAAAGCACTTCGACGCTGGGCTGATTGTGAGTGCAAACAGTAAGTTGAATCGCACCCAGTTGCCAAGAACCTTCATCGGACCTCTGAGAGACGCGGTATATCAGGAAGTACAAGAGTTTCCGAAGAAAGCAAGCACGGCCCTATCCTTCCTCGCAACTTCTAGTCTCAGCTCTTGCTCGTTGTTTACTTTACACTGCACCGCTCTAGGATTTGCTCCGGCCTTTGACCCTCTCAAACAGAATACACCGGTAAGCTCCATTGTTCGGCATCGGCTGGCCTATAACAAGTGTCTTCGCCATGGCACGGCAGCGAAGCACGCTGCACATGCTCTCGGCTTCTCCCATGATAAGTCCGCGCGAACCTGCTACAAGCCCTACTGACCACAGCCCGCAAACATGCTCTTCGAAGAATGTCTCAATTATTCTCCGCCACGCTCTCCAACTACAAGCGACCAAGAGTCTCGTCAGAAGCTTCGCTCCGAGTTCACAAGCTCGAGATACTACACCAAGATGAGTTCACGTCTCTCGAGGCCACAAACCATCAGCGAGACAACATCCACCGGCAACGACAGCGGCGATTCTATCCCAGCAATAGCACAGACCGACGACGAAGCTCGACTGCTCCACGTACAGCTATCGACCGTCTCCACAGGAATGTGCACGCAAGCGTACCAGCAAGCCCTCGCCAACCGCATCCACCAGCGCCTCATCACAGACAAAGGGAAATACAACACCAACGAATATCCTCCCGTCATCGTCCACGACATCATGATGCTGCCGGGCTCTCTCGCAGCTCTCATCGGCAAGGTAAGGTATGAAGGAGACGCATGCACATGAGATCCAAACCACATTTCCTGACCGCCCGCTGTGCGCAGGACTCTCCTATCCAGCTCATCCCCAGAATGACACCAGCTCTCCTCTGCGACATCAAAGCCCACGTGATCCCAGACACCCTGCAGCCGTGCCTATCACGCCGTCCCGCGAGTCAAGGGGCATATACCCATGGCATGCTCGTCTTCGGCCTCTCCAAGGAAACCCGCAAGCTCATCCACCAGCACTACCGCCCACATGCCAAACGGAAATCCATCCCTGTCGAGGCTGAAGTGAAAGTGCTCACCCCAGATGAAGATGGCCAAACTTCCTGGAAACTCGAGCGCCGAGCGATGAGAGCTCATGCTTGGCTCTGCAACAACAACGGCAAGGGGGCTCATCGAGTCGTCGAGGGAGCTACTTGGACTCTGGAAGATTACCTGGAAGGCAAGCTGGAGCCAAAACAGACTGTCCTACGGATCGAACCGAACATGAGAGGTGATGAGGATGACGATGGGTTCATAGGGAGGGAAGTGGAAGAAACGATCCTCAAGCGGGAAGTAAGGGAAGAAGTGCAAAGCGGGCCGGGTGAAATGGAGGTATATACGCGAATCAAGGGGTGTGGATTCAGCGGGTGGTGATGACAGAAAGTGGAATCCTTCCTCTGGATTTGCTCATCGCATGTTACGTCATGTATGTGGTGATATGAGTACTTAGTCTGGAGAATGTGACGCTCTAAAATGCTCTCATGCAGTATGTCTCTCCGAGCAGACGAGCCTGTCGATGGCTTTTCTTCTCGGACGGAGCACGCGTTCCACTCCTTCAAGCTGTCTCGACTGTCAGCATGCCAGACGGAAGCATTTACAGCTTGCTGTTCTCCTGACCTTTCCAAGCCTTCTGGACATATTCCTCGATATCCGCAAGAAGCTCCTTCGGCTTCTCCATAGCCTATTCAGCCACTTGTCAGCATCCCGTCCGATTTCACATTTGCCACCCGCTGAGACTTACGGCAAAGTGGCCACCAGTCTCATGAACCGAGGCCGAAACGAGATTGCAGCTCGTGGCAACCCAGCTCTTCGGCATGGGAACCAATTCTTTGGGGAAGAAGGAATACCCGGAAGGCTTTTCGACGTATGGGCGTTCGCGACCTCGGCCACTGGCTTTGGCGATTCGAGGTCGTTCTTCGTCTCCGGCAGCCGGGGAGGTTGTTAGCTTTTACGGCGAACAATCAGTCTTAGCGCACTGTGTTGCATGGGGAGGGTATGCTGATACTTACTCCGCGGTAAGGGTAGATGCAGCGTGGGAAGGTGTCAGTCATCCAATAGAGGGTGACACTCTCGAGAATATGGTCGAGGGAAGGGTCTTCGTCGGTCCATTCGAGGAACTTCTCGCCGATCCTAGGGTGGGGAGTCAGTCACAGGAAGATGCATGGAACGATAGGATGAGTTACCAGCTCAGCAAAGCAACTGGACTTGCGCTCAGACAATGACCAATCGTGGCGGTGCGAGTTCCGTGCTCAAGCGAATATGCGGCGCCGACTTCGCGGAACCAGATACCTCTTCCAATGGACGTCTGCTCGATCTTTTCCATCGGCAGATCATCTGCGTTCTTTGGCCTAGGGATGGGAGAGAAATTGAGGTGCATGCCCTTGCACGAATCCTTCGTCGCAGCCTGGTGACGACTGACGAAGCTTCCCAAGTCTCCTCCCTGAGCAATGTAGCCCGAGCCAAAGCCCAGCCCGACCATGAGGTTGTTCAAAGCGTCTGCGGCATCCTCAATACTGTAGTCGTAGTCCAGCGGCGGCCCAGACGAGTAAGCGTATCCTGGGATCGAAGGGACGATGACATGATATGGAAGGTCCTTCGGACTATACTTCGACTTGAGCAACTCCAGGATCTGTAAGAACTCCAAGAAAGAGCCCGGCCAGCCATGGTACAGAGCAATTGGGATAGCATCCTGCTTCTCCGAGAACAAGGCAACGAAGTGGATATCCAGATCGTAACCCACGTCATCCTTCACCTGAGCCGTATAGTTGGGGAAGGAGTTGATGTGGTCCTCATGCTTCCTCCAATCGAACTTGTTCAGCCAGTGATCTTTTGCATTCAGAATCCAGTCTCGCGGAACACCATATCGCCTCTCAACCGACTTGTCCGAGTTCTCAAAGTTGGCGGGAGCAACGGGTGAGAGTTTGAGCAAAGTCTCGAAGTCTTGCAACTTCTGCTCATCAACATGAGCTTTGAATGGCTTGACTTGAAGCTTGACGCCGGCGGGTAGCTTGCTGTAGTCGGCCATAGCGGTAGTTGCTGCGGGTAGTTGTTTTAGAGGGAAAGGAGTCGTCGGAGAGCTTTCATCGGATGGTGAGAGACGCGTGATGAACTTGTTTTATGTCGACGTTGTTTTGCATGGTGGAAAGCTCGAACCTCGGAGGGGAAAGTGGGATGGTCCCGAGTCACGTCAATGCTGACAAACTTCCTGGCCCCTTCCCGGCAGCATGTGAGTGCGGCAACCACTCACACCACTCATCTGCGATTCACAACAGGCTGACAGCGTACCACAGTACCTTAACCATGGCATGATTGTCAGCACGGGACCGGTGTCCCAATACAGCCATGAGCTACAACGTCGGAGTTGGTATCATGTCTCCCAGAACACCGTCTTGCAACATCTGGACCCATGGTGAAGGAAGCTGCTTTACTACCTCCCGGTGGAGTGCTAGTCCGGAATCAAAGATATGGATTCGGGCTTCGAGGTATCGATCGTGCCCATGAGAACGACAGGTCGATCGTATGTGGCAGTCCGGTAACAGCAGTCTGTTTCTGCCAGTGGCCTTGCCTGATGCTCACCGTTCCTGCATAATGTTTTAGACGGACACCTTTTCACGTCTCACCAACGGCAACGTGCTGGAGCAATACCAGCTCTGGGTCGCAGTGTGGTAGCATGTCGGTTTACTGCTTCTTCATCGACTCGTTGACAACCTGTCCCAGAAAAGAATGAGAATACTCCCCGCCCGGATATTTGGGGCGCATCCCTCATCTCATATTCTCATGCCGTAATGCCTGCTAGAGCCCTCTGACGCCTCGCTAATGATCAATCCACGCACTTCCGGGTCGGAAAAGATGCTGCCAGAGTACTTCAGTCCCGATCTCGTCCAATCTCGCCCTTGCCTCGCTCTCTTTCGAGCTCCAGTTTCCTCTCTTCTTGCTTCCGCCAATGGCTTCCCTCCTCGTAGTCCTTGCTGATCCCAAGAGCCCTCCGCAGCTTCTCGCTCTCCTCAATCTTCGCCTTGGCGATCTCGTGTACCTGATGTGACTTCAATCCCTTTGCGCTTGACCCGCCGCCTGATCGGGCTTGCTCGCTTTCCAGTTTCTTCCGAAGTGCGTCGCATTGGTCATCGATTTCGTCTTCGTCAACTCTAAGAGAGCAGGGGTCAGCACGTGCAATGGAATGCAGCGACAGGTGATGTTCGCCTACCCTTCGTCTTCCAGCTTGTCGCGCAATTCGAAGACCTTGACTTCGATCTCGCGCTTCCGATCATGTTCCAAAATTTCCTTGTCGGGTTGTCTCTGGCGGTGCCTTATCGAGTCGATGTCCGTTGGGTATGGTTGATGGTTGTCTCGTGGTTTGAGGTTGGCCGAGTTGCGCTGGACGTAGCCGGAGGTGCCTGAGCCTCGCGGCGTACTGAGTCCGACATTGGAAGACATGCCCGGTATTGATGTGCAGTGCTTTGTCGAACGTTGTCGAGTGATGTCGAAGGGTAGAAGGCGAAGCAATCCGGTCGCGCACTTGACAGGATGAAAGTTTAGCCGAACCGAAGAGTCATTCTCAAGAGTCTCGAACTTCTCTCATATGCGCGTCTCGCCTCCGTATATTGCCTGATGTCTTTACACCTCGACAACGAGAATCGTACGACAGAAAACATGCCCGCGATCCTAGAAAGCCAGGAGAATGAGTCGTCTGGACCGGCTACACTTCCCTTCCCGCCGGTGACGAAATCCCACATCCTCCACTGCTCATACCACTACTGGCATCCGAAATACCGCACCATAACACCCAAAGCCCGCCTCATCCCCCTCACACAACCCTTTCTGGACTATCTCCGCGCCGACGGCATCGTACTCCCCTCCGACGACGAACCGCAGCAACGAACGGAATGGTCCGACACCGACAGCGGCGTCTTCTCCGCCTCCGACAACCCGGACGCAGACGAGTCGGATGAAGAAGCAGAAGAGGACGTCGCGGCCGAATGGCGACAGGTCCACCTCGCAATCAGAAACACCATCGCAGAACTCGGCGGCAGAGTCATGCCGAAACTCAACTGGTCCGCGCCGAAAGACGCGACGTGGATCAACGCGAATACCATGGACTGCCGAACTCCACAGGACATCTACATGCTCCTCAAATCGTCCGACTTCGTCACACATGACCTGGAACACGCTTTTCAAGACTGCGTCGACTCGCCGGATTCGACTCTGCAAATGCAGGATATCCCCTACCATCTCGCCCTGCGCAAGACCGTGCCCAATTACAACCCCTCGGTCGAATTCCGCTGCTTCGTCCGCGAGAGGAAACTCCTCTGTCTCTGCCAACGAGACCTCAACCACTTCGACTTCCTCTTCCACATGCAGCACCGCCTCCGATCGCTCGTCAAGGAATTCTTCGAGGTCCGATTGCGCGATACCTTCCCGGAACCCAGTTTCGTCTTCGACGTCTACGTGCCCCAGCCCTACGATCGGGTGTGGTTGGTGGATTTCAACCCTTGGGCCCCGCGCACGGATCCTCTACTCTTCAGCTGGATGGAACTCCTGAGGATGCCGGCGCCCCTGGAGCCGGAACCGATCGGCGAGGCGGACTTTGTACGGATCTCATTGAATGGACCGAAGCCTGCTGCTGGAGCCGAACCCTTGGGGCCCGAAGAGGAGCACCTAGAAGAAGATCCCGAGGGGCCCAACGACGACGACGACGACGACGATGAAGAAGCCGATGAAGAAGCTGACGAAGAACTCTCCATGCCCGAACTGCGCCTCGTCAAGGCCACGGACCCGGAAGCATACAGCTTCAGCACACCCCAATACAGCGCGCACAAGCTCCCCAAAGACGTCGTGGATGCCAGCCAGAGCGGGGAGGGACTCCGGGAGTTTGCGCGGGACTGGCAGAAGATTCTCGAGCAGCGCATCCGGCAAGACGTTTCCGATAGCGAGGATGATTGATTGAGCGCTTCCCTACCTACCACAACTACCTTCTAGAGGTAGATCTCTGAGCCCTCCTCCACCGAAGCCTGAATTCGTTTGGAGAGACGGTGATGATGATGATGATCTGAACGGTTTTGGAGATGGCACACCGATTGAGTGTTTCCCTATCGATCTCATCAACCAGTAGCTAGAAATGAGGATCTATCTCTATGCAGAGGACCCCCACAAAGGCCCCCAGCGGCTGATGATGAACGATATGAACGAATTTGATTACATTTGACGCATGTCGTCAAGACTTCTCATTTTCATCTCTACCTCAATCTCATCTCACACGCCCACAATCCACAATCCACAATCCACATGCAAAAACCCTTCTTCTACTCGAACAGAATTTCTGTACACATTATTAATAGGGTGGAAGACAACCCACCGTTCTTCCCTCCCTCTCGGCCCCAACCAATCGAAATTCAATTGTATGCGCTTGGTGACAATGCAATGCTCGCTCGAATCGATCAGATCGCTCCCTCCTTCTCTCTTCCGGCAGTCTGCTCAGCGGACATACCGCGACGTCCTCATACAACAAGAATGCATGCACTTTGCCCGTGTTCCAGGTTCTTCCCTTTATATTGTTGTTCCTTTTCATTCTTTTCGTCAACGTCTAGCGCGGGTTGTGGTTTCCGGGGACTTGTCGCCAAGTAAGAAGTCCTTTTGTATCGTAAAATCACGCGTGCTTTGCTTGCGCTCTCTTCCGTCTCCTTACTACACCAACGGCTTCTTCACGTCTTGCACGCCTCGCTTGATGACATCTTCCAGCCTCCATCGTGGTGGAGTGACGGCGGGCTTGCCGCCTGCTTCAAGACATGAACGGTATTCCATTTCCTGCTCGTTTGTGAGACCTTCGTGGATGGGTTCCTGACCTCCTGCAATGCCAGAGCTGAACTTGAGTTGGAGAACCTCGCCAGCTTGGTCGCATGCTGCCAATAATCGGTCTAGATCATCCTTGGTGTGTGCAGCACTCACGCAGAACCGAGCTCGGGAGGAGATCAAAGGTGTCGCTGGGTATCCCACCACTACAACGGCGATCTTGCGCTTGAGCATTTCATGCGAGAACGCAGGAATCTTGGCTGGGTGGTACAGCAGCAGAGGAATGATAGGGCTGTCGTCATGCCCGTAGACAATGAATCCCAGCCTCTTGAGTCCGAGTCGCAAGTACCGGCTGTTGAAAGCAAGACGCTGTAGACGCTCCTCGCCCTGGCCTGGAGCGAGCTCGCCAGCGATAATTCGCAGACTCGAGCTGATTTGGCTAAGGACAGCTGGAGATGGACACTCACCATAGAGTGTTCCAGCATTGTTGACGCGAATCTTGTCGATGAGAGTCTTGCTGCCAGAGATGTAACCCCCGTTTGCTCCGAAGGATTTGGTGAAGGTGCCCATCAGGATATCAATCTCGGAAGGAGAAATGCCAAAGTAGTCGCAAACGCCACGGCCTCGTGGGCCAATGGCGCCAATGGAGTGCGCCTCGTCAACGTACAGCGCAAACTTGTACTTCTTCTTCAGCGCAACGAGACCAGGAAGATTGCACATGGTTCCCTCCATACTGTACAAGCCTTCCACCGCGACCAATATCTTTCTCCAAGGTCGGTGGCTTCGGGGCTGACCCTGTGATATTCTCTCCCGTAGTAGCTTCTCGAGTGCAGCCATGTCGTTGTGCTTGAACATGTCAATTACAGCTCCACTTAACCTGGCTCCAAATCGGATAGATGAGTGGTTCAGTTGGTCGGAGATCAGTAGGCAGCCTTTGCCAACCAGAGCGGGGAAGACGGTTGCGTTGGTCACGAAACCCATGGAGTAGATGGTAGCTGCCTCTTTTCCAACAAACTCGGCAACCTGACGTTCAACGTCGACGTGCAACTCAGACGTTCCTGAATCGGCTCTTGGTGAGCAGAAGGAGATGCCGTACTTCTTCACACTTTGTTCGGCAGCGTCTGCACACTCGCCTTCGGATTGAGCGAAGCCGAGATAGTTGTAGGAGGACATGTTCAGCGTCTGGGTCGTCGTGCCAGTGAGTTTGAAAGACAAGTTGAAGTCGTCACTCTGGCGATCCAACAGGGTGATGAAGCGTCCTGGCACTCCCGTGACAGGCCGCCTGAAGCAGTCGTTGATGCGCAGTTGCAATCGACGGATGTAAAAGTTGTCGAAGTCGGAATTCAGGGGAGCGTAGCCATCCTGCTCGCGCAGTTGCTTGTAATGGTCCGGCTTGAATCGCTTGCCAAAGAAATCTCGTACGTGGCCAAAGATGATGAGGATCAGGTAGGAGATGTAGGTGGTGATGAGGTAGTAGTATGGCGGCTCATCCTCAATGGGTTCGGGAAACTCGTCTCCCACGAACCGCGAGGAGTAGAGGTGCTGCTTGGAGCCCAGAGGACCGAATGTAGCGTGTTGGCGTGCAATGCGCCTCTGCTCCGAGGGTGTGGGAGGCTGAAAGAGGGTCAATGGCTCGCCCTTTTCCATCTTGCTCTTCTCGCCCGTGGCTGTCGTCAAATTTATCGTCGGCAGGCTCAAGGTGGGAATCTGTGGGCTCGGTGGCCTGAAGACGGGGATTTGCGGGGCCTCTAACTTTGCCTGTTGCACGGAGTCGGATGCAGGCTGAGTGGGTTGCGTTCGCGGCGTCTTGGGCGTGCCGTTGGAGAAGGGCAGGGAGAACTTTGGGGCCTTGAAGCGGACCGCCTGCTTGCTGGGAGGGAGTTGGCGGGACTCGAGGCGGATGGAGTCCTTCTCCGACAGGACGGCGGAGTCGGGAGAGACGGTGGTGGAGGAGGTGAAGGGGTTGAGAACGCGGATGGCAGGCATGGCGTCTGTGATGAGGCGAGGATATGGTTAGTGCTGTTGGTGTAAGGCCGAATGGGTACGGCAATATGCGGTATGCAGTTCCAGACTCGACAACGGGGCCGCGACGGGAGTGTTTGGACAGGTGCAGGAGAGAGAGCTCTCTCTCGAGAAAGGTGAAGTGACGACTCGGGAGGGAGCGAATGGCAGCGGAGAGGGTGCCTGAGGTGGAGGTGGTGGTGGTGGCGGACGTGTAGAAGCGGTATGGTGATGGAGAGCACACGGCACCTGGCAGGCGCAGTGGGTGGTGGTGGTGGTGGTGGTGGTGGTGTTTTTCAGAGCAGGCCGAGCGGTGGTGATGTCAGGAGCGATGATGCTGGGATGAAGGGTGGGAGGTGGGAGAAAAGCGAAGACGAGAGGCGCATCCGGCTGTTCCTGTCTTCCGTCGCCTCCGGAGCCGCCCTGTCCCAGCCGAGAGCACCTGACCGCACACCTGCCGGGACAGACACCTGAAGCGGCGCTGGGGGTCTGCCCTGGGAAGTTGGATCGCTTCGATGTCGATGTCGATGGGATGGATGTATGTATGAGGTGTATGAGGTGGAATTGGTGGTGGTAGGCAATGCTGCTGCTGGATGCTGCGTGTGTCCCCGTCCGCTTGCGCTTGCGACGTGGCTGTCGGACAGAGCGCAGAGCCTGCGGCAGAGAAAGGAAAGGAAAGGAATTGGGAGTCGCTTACCTTCCTTAGACGCGCATTCCTTCCCTCTCCAGATCAATGCAAAAATGCTTCGCTGCCTCTGACACACCGAGCAGCCTCAGGTTTCGGGCGCGCAGCAACAAGCTTTCCCAATGCCCGAGACGCCCAAACTCAATCTCCTGGTCGATGGCGGCCCCAGATCGCAAACGCGCGCGAGACAACGACACCTCCCAGGTCCCCGCCGGCTGTCTGGTCCAAGTTGTATGAAGTTGTTGTTGGTGGTGTGGTGTGGTGTGCTGTGCGGGAGAAGCGCGACTCTTCTACTACCATCCCTCCATCACTGATCAAGCGTCGATTGGCACCTGCATCGTCTCTAGCTCTAGCGAACCTACCGCCCGCCTGCAATTTCCGAGCCCTGAGCAGCGCTCCACCGCCGAGCCGACTCTTCCCCCCACGCCATGCCTTTCCCATACACCTCAGGGGCTCTCCCATGCACTGTGCGCCCGTCACCTGTCGCGCTTGAACACACCTGTGCACCACCACACACCGGCACACAGGCACACAGGCACCCACGCACAGCAGGCATTTGGCTTCGCGCTGCGGCACATCTGCCGGGTTCAGTCTTGCACGCTTTGTGACCTGTGTGACTCTTGCCAACGGAAATTTCATGCACACTTCTCCCTCTCCAACCAACCAACCAAGAAAAGAGGCCCACCAAATTTCAAGGCACTGACCCATCACTGCTGCCACCGACCCCCTTCCCTCGAGTATATTGCTGTGCCCGCCTCTCCGAAGCGTCCGCATGATCAGCTGCGACGTATCATCGAGATCTCTGCGAGAAACTGCGTCTTGGCAATGCCACGGAGCCGGGCATTTTCCATGCCGGAGAGCTCATCATGCATGTCATCTCTATCGATCCAAGGCCTATCTATCTACTCTGGCTTGACGGTAAAACTTGCTTGCTGTTGCAACAACATGTTTTTGTACACAGAGGCGTCTGTCGCACCTCAGGCGCGCCCTTGCATGTTCATGGTGTGATCCGCACGCGCTTGAGCTAAGGTATGCTGTGTAGCTGAGACGTGGGGACACTGTGGCACCTGCTGGTTTCACGCAAGACGAGAACGCCGTGCCTGGACTCCAATGGCCGAAAGATATCCTCAACGATCCGCCAGAATCGCCGCTGAATAGTGCTGTAGTGCATACTGGTGTCCCGTCCGGCCTCTTGTGAGCAGGACGCATGTGCTGAGGTCGCACACGTAGATGTCCACGCTGCAGGTCGTTGTCCGAGCAATAGTGACATGTGAGTGAGTGCTCATCAAGCTGGCTTCGGCTAGATGAAAAGCTCACAGCACCTCATCGACCTCCTCAGGATCCAAGACAACTGCCTGTTGCTGCTCCAGGCTTGTGTTTTCCAGAGCTGCCGGAGCCTCATCTTCAGCGCTCGACGTCTCAGCACTCCGTATGGCCAGCGGCTGCTCCAGATCCGGCAGAACAATATCCTGCCCACCCATCGCACCGTCCTTCCCAGACTTTTGCGCAGCCTCTTTAGCCTCATCAGCTCTCTTCTTGCTTTCCAGTTTCTCGTTCAACTCCTCCCAGTCAATCCCTCTCGAGCTAACTTTCTTGCCGCGAACCTTGCTGTCTGCGACCTTCTTTTCCAGCTTGTCGACATTTGCATCTGCCTTTTCCGTAGCACGCTGTTGACGCAACCGCTGTTGGTGGGTGAGTGTCTTGGTCTTCTTTTTCTTGCTGACTCCGGCATTTTGTGCGTTATGTAGCCATGGTTTGTATTCGGTCTCTTCGGCCTTCGCTCGTGCCGCAAGGTCTTTCGGCGGAGGAGATGCGCCTCGTCGAGCTGCGCGAGAGTGGATTGAAACTTCTGCAATGAAAATTCAGCTGTGTGTCGCAAAGCCGATGTGCAGGTGATACGGACCTCTTTTCTTGACCTTGGCAGTCTTCGCCATGACGACAGTGCACTCGAGGCGCTGAAATCGAGCCTCGCGTTCTGTAAATGCGCCAGTGAAGAAAAGTTGATGGTGCTTCAAATGAAATGCATGTGAATGGCGGGATGACGCTGACCCTGCGTCGGGATTGCAGGGATCTTTTCGCCGACCACGATGTCGATGTCTTGCTTGCTTCCTCTCAGAGACACACATCGTGATCTTCACTCATGCGCCACCTTCACATATTCCTCTCGACTGCTCAATAACTCCCCCAGAGCGATCGTTGCAGATGCCGCAACACCAGAATTCTTCGCACAGCCATGGATCACAGTATTCAGTTTGAGAGCGTCCCACGACCTTCCATAACCTCAACACTTGCGTACGGTACTTTGACTCTATATGCGCTCTACTTCCTCTTGAAGCACTTCGACGTTGCAGTCCTCGCTCCGCAGGAGCTACTGTGGAATGCTATCGTCTATATCATCCCAACGACACTTCTTCTGGACCGAGCGCGAAGACACGAACTCGAAGCGAACGACATGCTTTCGCAAACACACGCAGCAAAGAGCGATGCGCTCCGGCGAGTGCTGGGTATAGGAGGAAATGCGATCATGCAACGGTTTCCGAACGCAGGAGAGGCGGTTGGGATGGGCAGCATTATGCGAAGGACAAGCATGAGCATCGCAGGAGCAAAAGCCGTGACGAGCGAAGTGCCCGCGGGGCTCGGGAACTGGGACAATTCGTGCTATCAGAATAGTGTTCTGCAAGCACTAAGTTCTCTTGGAAGCCTGAGGAGTTGGCTGCAAGTCTCAGAACCCCCGAACGGAGATGGCGAGAGCTTGACCAATACAGCTCTGCAGGAGATGATTGGGAAGTTGAGGGATCCGACAAATAATGGCAGGCATATCTGGACACCTGCCAAATTGAAGAACATGAGTAGTTGGCAGCAACAGGACGCACAGGAGTACTTTTCAAAAGTCATGGAGGAGCTGGATAAAGAAGCGGCACGGACGGTGGCTGCAAGTGAGACGAAACCTGGTTTGGAGGTAGTTTTGGACGACAGGAATCAAAAGACAGCAAACAATAGAGAAGAGGAGTCGGAGAAGAAAGGACCCATGGCGCCCACACGACGAAATCCACTGGAAGGGTTCGTTGCGCAAAGAGTAGCGTGCACGCGGTGCAGCTTCTCCGAGGGCTATTCCATGATTCCCTTCAACTGCCTCACAGTGCCGCTGGGCTCTAGATTCGAATACGATTTGGACGAATGTCTGGATGAATACACGAAGAGTGAAGATATCGAAGGCGTGGAATGCCGCAGCTGTACCCTATTACACCAGGAAGAAAGACTCCAACAGCTCCAGCTCCCTCCTGAGCTACGAGCGCAGGTTGCAGAGCGCCTCCTCGCTATTCAGCGAGCTTTGGCAAACGATGACTATTCCGACAGGGCCCTCAAACAGGATTGCCAGATTAACCCGAAGGCTTTCGTTAGCAGCACAAAATCCAGAGAAGCCGTGATTGGCCGAGCGCCACAGTCTCTCGCTATTCACGTCAACAGGAGCGTGTTCGATGAGGTGACTGGAATGCAACGAAAGAACTATGCGAGAGTCAGTTATCCAATGTCTCTGGATTTGGGGCGTTGGATGTTGGGCTTCGACAGCAGCGCTGCTCAGTATCGACTAAGCGCAGTCGTCACTCATTACGGCCGGCACGAGAATGGGCATTACATCTGCTACCGAAAGCATCCCCGCAACGTGGTTCCGCGAGAGGGGGAACAAGGACCGGGAACTGCCTCACCTGAAGATCGCGAGCAGGAGAGATGGTGGCGATTGAGTGACGAAGAGGTCTACCAGGTGACAGAGGAAGATGTTCTCGGCCAAGGAGGCGTCTTCATGCTTTTCTACGAGCGCCTTGAACAGACAACAGACTCTTCCGTCTCGAAGGATGCTGCCGATGCAGCGGCAATACCTCTGCCTCCAGACGAAGATGCGGACTGGGATATGATGACGGTCGAGCAAACAAGCACAGCAACGCCATCGCTTATTACATCGGCACCTGAATCGGTCATCTCGGAAGATACAGACGTTGAGCTGGAAGTAGAGCAGAGCACTCTTCCGGATCCTGCTAGCAAGGCACCACCGCAGGCTCCGTTGTTGAAGACGGCTTCGCCGACGTACACATCACCCGTGCAGAAGGATATGCAGCATGATTTTGGTATGAATAGATCGTTGATGAGCGTTTGAGCGGCGGCGTATAGTAGAGATAGATTGTATGACAGCAGTAATGACCATGAAAGGCTGCACCATCCAACGGCACGAAAGTGTCGAAGGGTGTAACGTTTTCAACTTTGCACAATGAAACAAAGCTCAAATGATCTTGCCTCCAGTCGGTTCCAACGACATTTTCCATCGCAGTAGTCAGCGTAAGGTAGGTATCTTGAGATCCCGTGGAAGGTGGAGTCGACGGCCTGGTGGCTAGTAGCGTTGCGTTGCTGCCTCAGGCGACCACGCTAAAACTCTTGGCTCTCCACGGACTTTTCGCAAGTAGGCAAGACCTCAATTGTTGCGAATGCCACCGGTCTCTACTAACATCCCAACAGCACAGTCACGGTACGCATCCAACCGACGAAGGACATCGAATATCGTACTGACTGACTATTCAAGATGGTCGCCGCAAAGAAGCACGTCCCGATCGTGAAGAAGCGCACGGCGCGCTTCAACCGCCACCAATCTGACCGCTTCAAGTGCGTCGACCCTAGCTGGAGAAAGCCAAAGGGTATCGACAACTGCGTCCGGAGGCGCTTCAGCGGTCAGGCTGCTATGCCAAAGGTGCGTTCGACACCCGCAAACCGAGAAAGAGAGGGAATGAATTCGAGACACGAGGACATAAGGACTAGAATATGAAAGACGGTGGACCTCGGAGCAGCAGTGCTGACGGAGAGATTTAATACAGATCGGCTACGGTAGCAACAAGAAGACCCGCCACATGATGCCCTCCGGCCACAAGGCTTTCCTCGTCAACAACGTCCGCGACTTGGACCTTCTCCTCATGCACAACAAGACCTACGCCGCAGAGTGAGTGGACGGAACATCTTGCATACGGAGAGAGATACATACTGATCGGAACGCTGCAGGATCGCTCACGCCGTCTCCTCGAGAAAGCGAATAGAAATTGTTGCACGTGCCAAGCAGCTCGGCGTCAAGGTGACGAACGGCAAGGCCAAGCTCTCGACCGAGTCGTAGATGATGGGCACGACCGAGGGATTTGCGGACATCATGACAGGGCAATGGTTGAGCGGGCAATGGAACGGAATACGGCGTCAAATGAGAAGGTGCATTTGGTAATTGCATTTCGTAGCTGGCCAGCAATCTTCGATGCTGGGCTGGTCTATTCTGCATGAAACACCGCCAACGCCTCGCTAGAGTACTTTCAAGTCAAAGGAGTACATAGCGCATCAATCGTGCGAGAAGAAGCAAAGAGGAAACGGCATGCGCCAGACCCATCTTCGTCTCATTGATCCATATTCCCATCATCCCTCTTCCATAGCACCTGCATCCGCTTGCGAATCGACCTCGGTGACCTCTTGCGTCGCTGCACTCCAATATGCCTTGATGTCGACCTTGAACTCGGCCATGGCGATGCCGAACAATTTGAGCAACGCCGTCTGATGACTGTTCATCTCTTTCCCCTCTTGGCAGATCGTGTACTCCTGATCCAGCACCACTTTTCCCTTGTCTAACCTCGTCGGCATGCCCCACTTTCTCACAGTCACTTCCAACGAATGTGGCAGAGCAACATCGTCCTCCGCAGGGACTTCCCCAGCGCGACTGTAAACCACCCCCGCAGGCACCGTCACCGTCCTCGTCGCAGCAATCCCCGCCCTCGCAAAATCAACCTCCACATACCCCTCGAAATACTCCAACACCTCCCTGGGCGCGCGATTCGTACACAGCAGCCCGACATTCCCCTTCAAATACCCACTCAACTTATGCAGTCCCGGGGCATGCTCATCTTCTGGGCCGGCACCGAGTGCTTTCGCCATGACTTTTGTCTTGCCGAAGAAGAGGCGCGAGTCGGAGGAGAATTCCTGGCGGACGTCTTTGAGGTACGTGTTGCGCATGTTCTCGACGGAGAAGACGAAGATGTGCGCGTGGGAGTCGACGGCGGATTGCACGGCGGCGTAGAGGGACGCGGACTTTTCCTTGGAGGCTTTCTTCTGCACCACGGAGGTGTGCACCACGCGGGCGCGTTTGGATTTGGGCATTTTGTGGACGGTTTGGTGTTGGGGTTTCGAAGATTTGCAAAGTGGTTTTTCCGTGAGAGGCTGACGGGTGGTTTGTTGAAAGTGGGAGTGTTGAGCGAAGTGCGAAGTGCTTCGAGGTTCACGATCTCGAAATTCTTCGCTCGAAGCTTTCTGGCTCGGATTTAGTGATGCATTGATGCCTGAGGCGTCACTTCTCGACGACTTCTTTCTGCGCGTACCTGCCGAAGTAGGAGAAGAGGAACGCCCAACGTCCATTAGACTTCTTGTAAGCTCTCGCCTTCGACGATAATCAATCTAATAAGTATCGTTCTCCCTCGTTATACCTACAGCCTCCAGAACAGCTTGACCCTTCATTAGTATTCTATCTGTCCTGAGAAGCTTCTACGTCTCGCCGCCACGGCGTTAACCGGAGAATCAGGTGAGGACAAAGACACTCTTTTGAACCACTCTCGGCCGAGCATCCTACGACATCCGTATGCTGCGATATCTGGGGTCTGGGTTATGAATCGGACGCCGAAAGCGCCTACGTACGGCCACAATGTCGACTTTGGATTCCAGAGATGAAGCACGAGATGGGTCTGCGAGTGGCCAACTTTCACATCAACCAACATGGAAAGACTCTCTCAGAGACCGATCACCTACAGATGACGACGAACCACAGAAGAAGACTTCGATACTCGACAGGATCAAGGCGGCATGGGCTAAGCTGGGAATCGACAAGAGGACGTACATGCAAATGTTCAAAGGAGCGCTCGCCCCAACCATTGCACTCGCTGCGTACCAAGCAGATGCTTTCGCTGACTTCTTCACCACGATTGGATACTTGGTAATCATCATGACCATTCTGCCCGTCGTCATCACTCCGAGGGCCAAGTTTCTGCAGACCATGCTCATCAACGTGCTGTTTGCTTGCTTTGGAGCCGCCGTGGCTTTGCTGGCCATATTCTGCTCCGTCAAAGCCAGAGTCAACAGTGTTGGTGATGCTGCGCCTGGACAAGGAGGACCGGGCACGAGCGGGACTCCTGCTGAGGGCGCGTCGACGGCCGTTTACAACTCTTCTGGGTCGGCGGTGGCGGGGGTCTGGCTCTTCGTACAAGTTTACATCATCAGCGTCATCCGGGGAACGAATGCCCAGTATACGATCCCATGTATTCTATGGGCCATATTTGCAAATGTGGGCATGACCTACGGCCCTCAATTCAGTACAATGGCTCAGGCCGAGTCGTTCATACAGCGACTCCTGTTGGGTTTCTTGACCGGGTTCGGAATCGCAACGGGGGTCTCTCTGCTTGTCTTCCCTCTTACCAGTCGGCAGAATGTCTTCAAGGGCATGGCTGGATACCTCTCCGCTCTTCAAGCTGCATTGAAAGCAAATCTGGAGTACATGCACAGCCTGGAAGTCATCGACATGTTCGCTGAGCAGAAGACCAAAACGGGTGGAGAGAAGCCGCCTAGGAGCAAGGAGGCTGAAGCCGTCAAATCTAAGATGAAGGCGCTCGCAGCAATTCATGCGAAAATCAACACGGACTTGCCGTTTGCGAAGAGAGAGGTCGCCCGCGGAAAGCTCGGACCGGAGGACATACAGGAATGCTTTCGCCTGCTTCGACTCATCATGATCCCGACTGTCAATCTTGGAAGTATGTCGGATATATTCGAGCGGATTGCTGATGAGAGAGGTTGGGATCGATCTGTGAATCTCGCAAATGCCACTCTTGAGGAGGCTCATGATGAACAGGAGAAGATGAGAATCGAGGCTGTCAATGAGTGGCATGAGTTGATGAGGCTACTCCGAGAACCATTCGACAGTATTACCAGCACCATCAACGATGGCTTGCAACACGTAGCTCTCACATTGGAGCTTGTGCCCATGCCCAAGCCGACTGGTAAGGACGTCGAAGCAGAAGGATCCTGCCCTAAGCCAGGAGAGAAGGGATACTCGACATATTTTCAAGAACAAGCGCACCGATTTCTACACAGCAAGAAGACCATGCTCAGAGGATGGTGCCGTCTTCATGGGATTGATCTGCCCGAAGACTTCTTCGACAATCCCGACAGCAAAGACTTCGAGGCGCCCGCCTGGATGCAGGAGGGCATCTACTCAGAGGCGCATCGGAGGCTGCGAAAACAGCTCTTCCTCTTGTTGTACATTGAGTTCCTTCTCATCGACGTTTCGAAGCGGACGCATCATCTCATGGTCGCTGCGGAGAACTTTCACGAAAGCGGCAAGCTCTCCAGGACAAGGCTCGTCGTTCCCGGCGTCAAGCGGCTGCGGAAGTGGGTCATGAGCTTGTTCAATGACACGAGAGATGCCCACGAAGAGGATGATATGCACACTGACGGCAACGCGACACAGCAAGTCTATCTTGGGGATGCGTACAAGCACAGGAAAGATCCAGAACATCTTCCACCACAGAATGCGTGGGAGCATTTTGGCAATCAATTCCGGAAGATTGCACACTTCTTTCGCTCTCCGGCTTCATCCTTTGGCTTTCGCGTCGCGTGTGCGACGATGAGCATTGCCGTGATCAATTACCTGCACGACACGCAGACCTTCTTCACCACGCAGCGTCTCTTCTGGGCCCAGATCATGGTCTCGATCTCCATGAGTCCAACGGCTGGTCAAAGTCTTCGCAATTTCTTGTTGAGGATATTTGGCACTCTCTGCGCCCTCATCCTCTCCTGGATCGCGTGGTATATTGTCGACGGCCACACGGCTGGCATTATTGTATTCTTCTTCATCTTCACTCACGCTGGTCCCTGGGTGCTTTTGAAGTATCCCCAATACACTCCTGTTGGCATGATTGGGCAAGTCACCATGGGTCTGATAATTGGGTACGAACTCCAGGTTCGCAAGATTGGAGTCCAGGTTGCTACCTCAAACGGCCAAGCCTACTATCCCATCTATGAACTCGGTCCCATAAGGCTTGCCACGGTCTGTGCAGGCTTGTACGTAACCCCTGTCGTGAAAGCGCCTTACCAATCTGCTGACTGATCTATAGGTTAGTGGCTTGGCTATTTACCATCTTCCCGTACCCCATCTCCGAGCATAATCAGATTCGTAAGTCTCTTGGATCTTCACTGTACCTGCTGGCGAACTATTACTCGGTCATGCACGAGACCGTGAAGCTCCGGTTGCGGAACCAGCAGGGTGACATGAACATGAAAGAAAGCCCCGGCCGGAAGCTTGAGAAGGCTAGGACCAAGCTCTTTTCCAAGGCCAACTTGACCATTTCCGGACTTCGAACGCAGTCCACGTTCTTGGCTTTCGACATTCCCATCGGCGGCCGTTTCCCTCGGGAACATTACGAGAAGATTGTGGATCAACTACAGAGCATATTAAATTTCATGTCGCTAGTGAGCTTGGCGTCGTACAGTTTTACGGAATTGCGAGAAGAAGGCGAGCACCAAGATGGCCTGAAATGGTTGGCCAATTTCGAAAAACTCGTGAACCATGCGACCATGACCTCAGAGCAAGTGACGACGCTGTTGTCGCTCATGTCGGCGTCGGTCATTTCAGGCAATCCATTGCCTCCGTACCTACGCGTACCGGAGCCTTGGCTCCTCGCGAACAAACTTGAGGATTTGAGCAAGGACATCTTGAGCGTCAAGCACATCGCGGAGCCGGGATATGCCAGCTTCGCCGTGATGCAGATTGGGACACGCTTCATCAACGACGATCTCAGAGGGTTGGTCGAGGGCGTGAAGGGGCTTGTGGGCGAGTTGGACTTCTCTTACCACATCGTCAGCACGGCCGATGCAGCGCAGGATAACTCCGAGGAGACGTTGGTCTACACGCGAACCAATACTGCTCTGCGGTCGAAGCAGGATTGATGAGTTCTGACGGTCTGTGAGGAATCTGGAAAGCGTAGCGACGGCTTGATGATAGGGAGATCACGCGTACAACAACACACAGACGTTGTCGACGGCATTTGGAAGAAGCGTTGTTGGCAGACCTCGACACGACGTGCAGCACGGTGCTGCAGTGTCCTGCGACTCCACTTTGCCACGCAGCTTCGGCGACATTGGATGGAAGCTTTCAACGTCGTGCACGACGTCGCTCCATTCCTAATTCGGATTTCGTTGGCTAAATGTCTAAGGAGCGCTCGATGACGTGATACGCTGCGGTATTGATCCACCATGGCATTGGCATTGCCTACCTTGGTGGCCGTGATGAGGAGTCGCCCGGATTTCCCTATATGAGCCCACGCTGCTGCTGCTCAGCAAAAGTGCACAGTGCTGGCATCCCGACTTCGCCTCCTCTCAAGCACGTCTTGGAATCGGTCAAAATGGTCAACATCACCCACGTCGACTTGTTGAGGCTGGCGACCAGTTTCCCCTACGCCGATCAGCTCCAGGCCGTTACCAATGCCTCGACTGATCACGTTTCCTTTCTGGCCTACGATGCGTCCTTTGTGACGGACGTCCTTGGCTCCAATGTAACTCAGAAGCTTGTCGCGGATTTACCTTGGGCTGCTTTCCACGAGGCAGGCGTCTACAACAAGGCTACTGGCAAGCTCTATGCGACCAGTAATTGGAATGGGTCGTTGGACAACCCCATCAACGTCACTGTCATCGACATTCACAACGATGACAAAGTCAGCTCCATTCGATACCCCAACCTAGCAGAGGCCAACGGCGCGGCAGCCTTCTACCCCGTTGGATCATCGCCAAACAGCACTGCAGGTCAACAGATTGTCTTCTGCGACGAAGGCGATCTCCGTCGTGGCCCGTCACAGCTCACTGTCGTTGATCCGGCCACCAACAAGTCGGAAGTCATCCTGAACAACTTCCTGGGACGAAACTTTTCCAGCATCAACGACATTGAGCAGCATTACCATACTGGAGATCTGTGGTTCACTGACGCACGATACGCATACTGGTACGTCGTCGTTGGGAATTCAAGAGGTAGTGGCGAAAGCTGACCAGATACAGGCAATACTTCCAAGTCGAGCCGTCTATTCGACCTCAAGTCTACCGCTTCGAGCCCAAGACCGGCGTCGTCCAGGCCGTCGCCGACTACTTCATCGCACCCAATGGCTTCGAATTCAGCCCGGACTTCAAACACGCCTACGTTACCGACACTGGCGTGCACACATTCCCCGGCAAGGACAACCTCACCGCGCCTGCAACGATCTACCGCTTCGATATCACTCCGGATGGCAAGCGGCTGGAGAATCGACAAGTGTTTGCCTACAGTGACCAAGGCTTCCCCGATGGTATTCACACCGACACCAAGGGCAATGTGTATTCTGGTACGAGCGATGGTGTGCATGTCTGGAACCCTGCAGGTGTCCTCATTGGCAAGTTTGGGATCGGGGGCAATGGTGTCAACAACTTCGCCTTTGTTCCCGGTGGCATGTATATCTTCAATGCCTACAAGCTGTGGAAGGTGACGATCAAGGCCGAGGGCCGTACCGTCAAGCGCGACTTTGGGCTGTAATAGATATTGCATTGCCTGGGAATGGGTAATCAAAATGGCGATAGATTTGTATAGAATTCATGTCTACTCAGCAGGGCCTACGATTGAAGCGGAGGACCCAGACCTTCACATCTGGACTTACACATCTCTCTTCCCTCGCTCGCGGAGGTCAGTACGTCGTCCCATTGACAAATGTCGTGTGGAGATATTCTCCAGCAAGCTACACCGATGCATATTAGCAAAGATTGTCCAGATAACTCACGCAAGTTCTCCAAGCAAATCCCGTATTAACATATAACACCACTTACATGCCAAACATCGATCCTCAAAACCACCCCCTCCGCATCCTCCGCCACCCGGCTCAACACGCCCACCATGACCAGATTATTCAACCAGTAATACCTCGCATCCCCCGTCTCAATCAGCACCCTTAGATGCAGCCCGCCGGCGGGGATACTCGGCCCACTCGTCTGCACGAAGAGCTGCGCACCATCGTGTGTCTGCAGGTTATAGCGCGTGTCCGCGGTTAGCAGGCCCGTCCGGGGATCTCGGAGGCCCCAGTCGGCTCCGAGGTCGAGGATTGCGCCGGCCAGCCGGGGCCCGGTGAAGTTTCCGCCTGTGATGGGGATTACGGTGCGGATTCCGCGGGGCCCGGGGGATTCGTAGAGGGTTTTGCGGCAGGTTACGTGGGCTGTGTAGAGGTAGACGAGGGCTGGGGGGGTGGGTGGGGTCGGGGGGAGGGCTTTTTTTTGGGTTGTTGTTGATGCCCGTAGTGGTGGTGAGAGGGCGAGGAAGGCTGCTGCTGTGAGGATGGAGAGGTGCATGATGATGGGGAGGAGGAGGTGGAGGAGGAGGTGGAGAGCTAGTTTTTTGGGGCGACAACATGGGGTTTTTGGAGTGGTGATATGGGATTTGTGCTGATGAGGGGTTAATAGTGTCTCTTGCCGATGTTTACCTCCGTCGTAGACTGCCAGGGTTGGGGATCCATGTGTCGTAATTAGATATAGTTTGAGTGCCTTACATTAGCAACCACATAGAGATGAAACTCTATATACATATTGGTAGGTCCTTCATACCTACTCAATCAATTCTGTTATAATCCTCTGCGCCTTACCATCTGAGAACACTATCGCACTGCTCACGGCATCCAAGCGACGTCGGTATTTGGCGATCCCTATGGCATGACCCCTCCGCCTCATCCCTATGAAGAATGAGCCAATGGGCATGGAGAGCACAGGACAGAATGCCTATGCGATCCCCCGCCGGCAACTGCATCTTCTTCAGCATCCAGTCGATCGAAGTCTCCATCAATGTGGACTTGACTCATGTGATGAAGACATCGAACGCTCGCTGTGGCGCCTCGATTGAGACGGGAGCGAGGGAAGCCGCTGCCTTTCCAGACAACAGAATTGAACCAAAGCAAACCTTCACTTGACGTGCCCTTCAAATCGATCGAAACGTGGAAAGTCACTGCTTCGCTGGGTGGACAACAACACTTCTTGACCCCAAAGACATTGCTCGCTTGGACGGGTCGAAATCACCAGCATTCAAGATTGATTGATGGCCATGCAGAGAGCTACGGCCAGGCGAGGCGAAATCGCGGGCGTCTTGTCCGCCTTGCTATCGGCTAAGCAGTAGGTACTCTTCGAAGACAAGCCTCCTCCACTTCTGCAGGCGGGTGATTCGATCTCCATGACACGCTGACCTACCCGAGAAGCACCTTCTGCTTGCCTTTGTCGGGGCTTGGTTGCATTTTTCTCAGCTTCAGGTCGCTCTTGTTCGGACCACGCGCATCCCTACAGGACAGGTAGCAATCTTGACGGGCGGGACCAATCGTTTCGAAGATATCGGATTGAGATCTCAGAAAGCTCTTTCTTCGCTTTCCCTACCTCGGTCCCGGATCGTACGGTGGGTTTGGTCGACAGCAGGCGACAGCAAAGAGACCGAGCTCCGTGACGTGGACGATGATATTCCGAAGGTAGCTGAATGGCCGACAGCGGAAGCATCCGCGATATGATGTACCGAGTCCTATTGATGTACCGATTGGGCGAAAGGGTCCTCTAGGAACGCTGAACTCCCGGCCTTTATTCACCTCCCTATTGAACTACCGGCTTGGCAACTCTGGAGACCACTCCCCACAGGCGCCACATTTCCGCCATTGAGAGTCCAGGAGGCCACAATGGGGGTCTATTCGAAGCTGACGTCTCCCGATTGGGCCATTGACAACATGTGGGGATAGTGGCGACCGCTGAACTGTTGGAAAACGAACTATATAGTTCTCGTCGATGATGGCCATTTCAATCGATCTCCTCTGCACCGGCGGTTAGTCCAAGCAGCTTCGACCGACAGCCTTTCCTTACCAACGACGTACCAGCGATCGAATTGTTCGTTCCTCAACATTCAAGATGCAATTTACCATCGCTACCGTCCTCCTTGCCGGCGCGGCCCTCACCTCGGCTGCCGCCATCCCCAACCCAGTTGCGGAGGCCTCCCCCATGAAAACCAACACTGGTACTGTCACCCGCTGCGGAGTCATTGGTATGAGCTGCAAGCGTGATGCGGATGCCTCTCCAGTCGCAGAGGCCGAGCCACTGCAGACCAACACAGGCACTGTCACTCGCTGCGGAGTCATCGGTATGAGCTGCAAGCGTGATGCCAACGGCGAGCTCATCGAGGAGCGTGACGCTGCTCCATCTCCAGTCGCCGAGGCCGAGCCACTGAAGACCAACACTGGCACTGTCACTCGCTGCGGCGTCATCGGTATGAGCTGCAAGCGGGACGCCAACGGCGAGCTCATCGAGGAGCGTGACGCTGCCCCATCTCCAGTCGCCGAGGCCGAGCCACTGCAGACCAACACAGGCACCGTTACCCGCTGCGGAGTGATTGGCATGAGCTGCAAGCGTGATGCCAACGGCGAGATTATCCAGGAGGCCTAAATCAGGAGTCATCCTGCGATTGTTGAAGCGAGGAGGGTATGACACAGAGACAACCTTGAACGATTTGGACTGTTAAGGGGTGGGCCAACCCCAAGGCGGCTCTTCGCTGCCTTATTTTATCCACGATTCCTTGGGAATGCTAGATTATTAGTATTTTCAAATGTTGATACTTATCTCCGAGCGCTGCTTCTCTCAAGTCTCCGCTGCCGTGCGATAATGAGTGGTCCGTCAATGTGTATCAGAAAGACCTGATATATCTCTTTGCAACTCGCAGCCATTTCATCGTCTGCGCTAGAGTCCCTTCCAACGTAAAGGTGAAACCCTATTGTGAGAGCCTTGCGTAAGCTAGTATGCTTGAACAGTGGTTGCACGTGACTTTGCCGAAGCCGCAGTTGTGTAAAAGCGTGGATGTGCGTCGTCGCCGTCGCATTACCTTTGGAAGACACGCACTCTAGCCCTTCAGAGGCCCCTGCTAAGCAACTTTGTGGCCCAAGGTCGTTTCTCCGAAATCCTTCCCGCTCCCGCGGAACTTCGACTTCGACTTCGACTTCAATTCCTACATGGCTGATTCCACCCCTACCTCACGGACTCGAATCCCACCATTGCATCGTGTTAGGGCCGCGTGAGCCGGAGTATACCTCCGTCGGTCGACCTTTTGGGTCTCCAACACCAGGGCATCGCGGCACTAGAGGTGGTGAAGCTTCCAGTGACAACATCAAGACGTCCACCTAGTATTCATTTAGACATTCTATGCTCTGCCGCTTGCGTTCTCAGGGCGGAGCATCGGCGCATCGAGGCCATGGCAAATTCTGCGCAGGGTATGGTCAGGCGGAGGAGAGTGAAGCCTAGGTGACCTGCCAAGATGGCCCTCTCAGATCCCCTCGCGTACTGGCAGGCTTCCAACTGGCCGTGATGGTCTCCACACCACAGGTCGCTGGCGGTGTATTATGAGCTCACGACCCGCTCGAATCAAAGTACGCAACTAGTGACCGGCTCTCTGAGTTTCCAACTACAAGGTTCCCGGCATTGGATGTGATGAAGATTCTGGTGGACGTTTCGTCGCCGGGCGACAGCCTTGAGACGTCCGCCAAATGTTTGTTCATGCACTGTTTACGCTGCTCGGGGATGTCCTCGGGGTGGCTTCGTTGCTTCGGAGCTGTGGCAGCGTCGGCACAGGGTGCGTCTGAGCGGGGGAGAGATCAAACATGCATGAAGCGCCTCGTACGCGATTCCTAGGACACTCCAACCATACCAACCGCATATTGGCGGGCGCTGAGTCGGCTTCGAGGTTGCAGAAGCAATGCGCCACTGTAGTGCGCGTGCGCGAAGGTGAGATCGCCATACATGACGTGCCTCGTGCGCTGAGCCGTCAAACTCGATTTCGCCGTGCGCTATTTTCGCCGTTTCTACACGGCAGAGACGCTTCCGATGCCACAAACTCGTGGTAGTTGCTTTGAGAAGACGGTCACGCGATGCCCTGTGAGTCTTCCTGATTCCACTCCTTTCGCTGACATAGCCTGCAGACCATCGTATCCCAGCCTTCCGGCTGCTTATGAATGGCTGCGCAGGTCATTCTCATCGCACGATGAGTTCGCAAATCGTGATTCCATCCATGGTTATTTCAAGGACGTCAGGTGCACCGAGCGTGGTCACCCCAACAACGGTTCGTCGAATCTCGCACGTTCGCTTTCGCGGTCTTTGCCGGTGTTGCTCGGGGAAAGCAAGTCAGAGGCCAGCTGCGACGATCGATTTGGTTCATGGTTATGCATGCCACGGGCTTGTTTTGTGGACCCAGCGCTGTTTGGCAGGGGGGTTAGAATCGAGATGGATGAGAGACAAAGGAAGGATGAACTGTCAAAGCTGGGGAAAAGAGGTGAAGTCCTCGAAACGCGCTAGCCCGTGCACAGACCATATGCGTTCATTGAGGATATGGAGAAGTTTATACAGCGTCTTGGCCCATTACATATTTTCTCGACGCACGGCTATACTTTCAACCCTTTCCCCTGCCCACTAACTTCCCTCAGTCTGTCCGCAGCGCCTCTTGGCTTGCCGTTTTCAGCGCCCCATTGGCCGCCAAGCGTCAGGCCAGACATTCCACTTGCGGCGGAGTCGATACTACTGACTCTCTCCATAGCAGGTGCCCGCACCAAGCCTCTAATCCCACCCGCTTTCCTGGCCGGTAGCTCGCCCTCACCAGCAGTTGCTACGTATAGCAAGTATTTGAGATTGGGCAACGTTTGGCGAATGTCGAGGACCCGGAGATTGAAGGCGTTTTCCAGCAGCGTCCGGATGTTCTGGTTGATCAAAAAGACGCCGTATTCGAAGCGAAACCGTGGCACACCTTTGATAAAGAGCGGATACGTCCTCATGGTGTGCTCGGCACCTTGCGATTTCGATGGTGTATTAGTTTTGAGGATACTGACGGGATCGTATATCGTGCTTGTGCTGCCTCGGGGCGATACAGGATACGGAAGAGCCTGCCGGAGATAGAATGCTAGAAGCTGAAGCACATGTGCAACGTACCCAAGCGCGGCTGATATGTGCTCGGGCGGCTCAGCATCGATGTGATCAGCGTTCGGCAGGTACAAGCCCTGTATACTGAATGCCAGTGTCTTTCCAGGAACTGGTTCGATTGAGTAGCATCGCTGTAGCTCCTCACATATGCGACGTCGTTGGTTTTGAATGGCCTTCTGGTTGACATTGTGCTCTGCTTCCATGCTTGGCAGCTCGGGCTTGGCATCTTGCATAATTTGGACTTCCGACTTTCGAGAGGAGAGATCCGAGGCCATCAATGTTCGCCTGGCGGAAATGGAAGCGCGCTTTTCGTCCTGCTGTTTTTGTGCTTTGTCGAGTTGCTTCTCGACCGTCCTCTTGGCGAAGTCAATGGTCTTGAGCCGGTCCTCTGCTTCTGCGACATCATCACGCTCGTTCAGCGCTTCTTTGTTCCGTTGTAGCAAGCCTTCGAGATCGTTGGCTATCGAATTGCGGGCAGCAAGTGCATCTTGAATGCTGTCATCCAATTTGGAAAGTCGCAAAAGCGCATCAAAGGAGGAAGTTGGCAACGACCGCTTCTCAGAAGAGCTTGATACAGACCTCTGTAATGAGCCTGGCAGAAGAGGGACATAATCCGCTAGAGACTCCGAGAAAGATGTGTAGATGCCGTCATTGAGATGGAACAACACGGCGTTCGACGGCAGTGATCGGTTCAATTTGTCCAGCTGCCATAGTCAGCACAATTTGGACCACTTTCTTGGAGAATACGAACTCTTTTGCCAATGAACTGCAAAGAGCTTAGGTCCAATCTCAGCGTCATCAGCTGCCTCCATGTGCCGACCTTGCCGCCTCTCACCCAGACACGCAAAGTGCAGCTTTCCAGCCTGGTGACGCCTGGACTGCACGGGCTCCAATCGACGTGACGAAAGGTCGGGTTCATCGTCTTCTCGACAGTTTCCGAGATGTATACAGGCTCTGTGCTCCACCTCGTCAGCTCTCCCGTCTGCCTGCCCTCGGTGCACGGTACCTACCAACCTTCAAGGCCGTGAACGTGCAGACTGAAGAAGACATCTGCCATACGCTCTCTCAACATATCCTCCAGTCGCTCCTGCCGTCGCCGAGGTGTTGCATTGGCCCATTCTACTGTGCTCCGCCTTCTGCGTCTCTTGAATTCGGGTCTCCTAGGAGTCGCACTGGTCGCGCTCTGCGTCCGCTTTTTCGACTTGCTGGAGACCGGGCTACCATTGGCATCGGTCCCGCCAGCTACAGTATCGTCCGACTCCGCTAGAGCTTCTTCAGCTACTGCGCGAAGGTCGGTGGAGCTTCTTGAAAGGCCGAGGGTCTTCTGTTCTCGCAGCGAAACGATCTTGGCAGGCGATTTGAGCGCCTGAGGGAGAGCATTGTCGTCAATCGTCTTTCCTTGTGACCTTGTCGGGGAAGTCGAGGCCAGGTTCAAGTTGCGCAGCGAGATGGAGACGAGGTTGCGTAGCTTGCGGTTGGAAGGGAGAAGCCAGGGACGTTCATCCCGGCTGAAGGTCCAGTCGGCGGAAGGCGAGGTGATCTGCGCCATGCATCCCGATGGCGTCGTATGCTAACAGAGATGGTGATGTTGTTGCCGTGTGTATAAGGGCATTGGAGACTGTTTTCTTCGCGGGATCGTGACACGGCGGAGAGCTCATCTATCTCCAGTGCACGGCTCAGTGTTGCTGGTGACGGAGGTCCGAGCTCGAGCTTGGACTGACCTTCCATCTATCTCTAAGGAGCTTTTCTTCCATCTCAACCTCAACATCAACATCGACATCGACATAGACACTGCATGCTCGGAAGGTGACGATATCTACCTGCTACATTGAGCTGGCTAGCGGTCAGAGCACGACGATCTACCGAATCATGGCGGAGGCGTAGGACGAATGGAGTGTGGGAAGCTGATACGTATAGCTGTTTACGTGGACCTGCAGACACGTTGGATCCGAATGCGTAAATCGATTGAAAGGATTCATGATGCACCATCTCACTGACGCGAACAAGACCCAACGCATCCATTCACCACCTGCCTTCCCGTTCACTCGTCCTCCAGCTGTACATGACTCTCGACCTCGAGGTGTACACGACTCTGGAGTGCGAACTTGCTCCAACCCCTAACTCTCTTGCCGCAGAAGTAGAATAGGATGTGCAAAGGTACAAGAACAGCACAGAGAACTCCGAGACTCCCAATCATCTATCGGTCCGTCAGAATGAAGAGCTATTGACCATGACAAATACTGGACTTACCCAATGAACACCCAACTTCTCGTACATCGGAGCCGAGAAAGTCGACAAGGCCGCGCCAGCAGCATACCGGACAAAGGCGCAGGCCGCCAGTGCGCTATTTGCATGCTCGACGTACAGGTCTTGTATGTAGACTGTGGCCGTCACCCAGACCAAGTACATGCCCGTCCCAATGAGTACTTCAGCCGTAGCTGGGTCGGACCAATGGGTACTCGAGGACGTCTTCCAGGCAAAATAGAGTAGGCCGAGGGACAAGATAATCATTCCAGCGATCTGAGTGCATCAGCATCTGAACAGCACGATGGCAGGGCTAATGAACTAACCATTGCGGGAAGGCGGCTCTCTGGCTCTATTGCTTTACCGGCCACCAAGCGTTTCTGGAAACGTATTTTCGTATCCACCAACACTACAATACAGCCGACGACGAATCCAGGGATGGTAACGACCAGCATCCATGCAGAATGACCTCGGCCCCAATGACGCGGAAACTCGTACGCTTTCGGCACAGCAGAGTATGTCAGACTTTGTATCCCGTAATCCAGAGTGAATGCCAGTGTCACCACGATCAAGACCGGCTCGCGTATGAGCATCTGCCAGGGTTTCATCAAATACTTCTGGAGTCCCGCCGGGGTCTCATCTCTGAAGCAGTGGAGTGACCAGTCTCCAGTCGCGTTCCGAAGACGTCTGCATTTCTCCTGCAGTATGAACTTTTCCAACGTCTCCGGCAGCACCAGCATTGTCACGGTCAAGGGCAGCGCGATCAATACGCACAGCCACATACTCCACCGCCAGGTCAGATTGTATTCTGAGACGAGCGTCACGCCTATCGCAGGGCCTAGCGACCCTCCGATGAACGCTCCTGTGGCGAACATGGAGTATCCCATAGCTCTTCCGACTGGACCAAAGAGATCGACAAACATTCCCGGTGGCTGCATGTCGTCTGTCATTAGCTTCTACTCTCAATGGATGTCACCTTCTAGACTTACAATGACATAAGCCGCGCTACCACAGAAACCTGACAGGAACCTGCATATCAAGACCGCTTCAAAGTACTTGGACGTTGTGACCGAGATCGTTGCTCCCATGAAGCCAATCATGCCAAAGACGAGCGGCGTCTTGCGACCGTAAAACTCGGATGCCGGCCCAAACAATGCCGGACCTGCTGCCAGTCAGCCACTACCCAAGCACGAGAGTCCGATCTTGAGCATTACCAAATGCAAGACCAAGTATGAACAGTGAGACCCCAAGATCCGCAGCGTTGCCGGAAAGCGGGTCGTCGTCGTGGCCAAGCGGTCCTGTTGCTCCGGAGAAGACGCTGATTGCGAACGACACCACAAAATTCATGAGGCCTATGACGAGGCCTATGGCGACTTTTATCCGAGTGCTGAAGTTTTTGGGATTCTGTGGGTCATGCTTGCCGTCCCATTCGACCAGACCGGCATCAGACTGGATTGGAGAAGAAACCTCCGCCGAGTGTACCCCGATTTCGCTCCCCAAGTCACACTTCACCGTGGGCTCCAGATTCTTCTCTGAGTCGGCGCTGCGTAAGATTGCTGCAAAGGGAACGATACTCGAACTTCTTTGCCTGAGCAAGGATCCTTCGAAGGTCGTTCCCGTCGAGCAAGCTGCTTTGATATCTGGTTCGCTCAGAGGCGTAGCCGCTGGGTTCGCGTCGCTCCAGATTCTGTGCAACTCTTCGTTCAACATCGTGCAAGTTCTGGCCTGTGAAGAACATGCTGCTATCTGCGAAGGGCTGGAGCCTCACATATGCTCCAATCTCATAGGCTTTTCTCGTGGAATCGATCATCGCCGTTGCTACTGACACGAGGGACGGCCGAATAGGCTTGCTAGGATGACGGGATCGTGATCTGCCAAGAGCCTCCGTGAATCAACCCACATCGTCGCGGACGTGAATGCATGCACGGAAACCATCAGCAGCTCGCGACGTCAGTGCGGCGTCCAGAATACTCCTTGCGAATCCCAAACTTCCACGTGTCAACGTGTCTGATATTGAATCGACCACTCCAGAGCTGCAAACTTGGTCGCGTTCCCACTGGCACCCCCAAGCTGCCTGGGCCTGGCACATTGGAGCAGGACACGGTGACGGATGAATCTGCGGCAATACTACATTCCTCTCCCATTCCCGCGCTGTAACGGAGGTTTGCCCCTCAACCAGAAGTTCCATCGCAGAGGCAGGCTCAGTAGGCCAACCAGCGAGAGGGCTGAGCTGACGTTGTCGTTAATGCTCTGACTCAGGTTGTCTTCCACAGCATTCGGACGTCGGCATCTGTCACCATCTCGGATGCGACGAAGCAACAGTGCACAAGGACGTTCCCGGCCCATAATTCAAGCTGTCCAAGGAAGATACCGACCATATAACGTTGCACGTTGTCCAAAATTGCGTGTTGTACATTGCCGGTTTTGAACGATAGCGGCTGCACGAGAGCGCTTCATGCCGGCCAAGGATCCCTCCGGACGCAGACCACTCAATCAGCCATGTCCCTGCGTCGGATGCCTCCGGTGCGAACTCACGCTCCCTGCACACTGTGAGCCTCTCGGTCTTCAACACTCCGGAGACAATTCTGTCGTATCGCAAGCCGCCACACATCATTTGACGTTGTCCAGCAGACGCCGAGGCTTGCACCTTGCTTCATCACCAAAGAGACTTTTCGAGTTGCGAGAGCAACTTGGCACTGGCGTCCGAATTCCAATGATCGTGTGCCCATGTTCAGACGTGCACAGCGCCGAACAGCCCTCTCGCCTCATCATACCGCTTCTGAGAGCAAAATTTGTACGGCTCTCGGGCTTCTTCGATTCGGACGGAAGTTGCAACAGTCTCGTTGCCATTTGTCAATCTCACTGTCGCCCGGCGGATGATCATGCAGAGACAAGGCCACATCTGTCCGCTCCTCCATTGGTGGCGGTGGCACAGATCATCGTCCTCCAAATCGATCATGGATGGTTTGCTGGTGCGGCTTTGCTTACGGTGGTACACACAAATAGCACTCATGGGTCATCTGGCCATCGAATGGCTGCAAATATGCGCACACACCCGTGGTCGTGGAAGAGGCTCAAGTTCGTCGACTGAAGGGGCAACTTCAGTCGTCGAGCTTACGAGCTATAGAATGGCAAACATCAAGCGTACGAGTCTTGGATATCATTGTCTACAGGAGCATGCACTTGGCGACATAAGCTTGGGCTTTCCGCGATCTGGCAAGCACACGTGGATCGGCTGCTCGCGCGTTGTCACGGTTCAAGCTGTGAGGGTATCGCAACGAAAGCCTGGATACTGACAGTACATATGCAGCTACTTCTTGTTCTATCGCGCCGGATCTTGCCAGTCGAGGGGGAGCAACCCTACTCTGACTTTGCCTCAGCCTTAGCATGCTGCTTGGCAAGCCTATTTGAATCCGCCTCGGTCTTCTTGGTCCGACCCGTGATCTTGGGTGCATTGGGATTCGCAGGTGGGTACGGTCTGTGTAGCACATCATTGTCGGCGTGAACCACCTCCTTGACGATCTTTCCGAGGTCTTTCTTTGACTTCCAGATGTCTTGCTTCTCTTCGAGGGCGGTCAGGAGTTTGTCACAGGCTGTGATGGGCTAGTGACCAAAGTCAACACCAAGGAGGCTTGCTCATGTGGGGGATGTTATCGTTTGGCTTACGATGTCGGCAGCGTTGCTGAGCTCCAATTGGGCTGTGTCGTCGTAGAAATCTGGAATGTCCGAGTCTGATGGTGCTCCTTCGGCTGCTTTTAGGACTTGGTCCCGTTTCTCTTCGATTTCCTGTACGAAGTCAGAGAACAGCACACGACCAGCTGCCATCAGGATTGAGATACCTTGTAGCCCGGCTCAAGGTCATCACCCTCATTGGCATTCATGATGATCTCGGTGATGGCGTGAGTACCCTCGCCAAGGGTTCTGAAGATTGCTTCCCATTGCTCGGCCATGATGAAGGTTGTTGGTGTTGATGGTGGGGATAAGGAGTATTGCAGGTGCAAAGTGGAGGGATTGAAGACGGAATCAAGTAAGCTGTCAGGTGATCTTACCTGTGTACCCTCTGGGCCACGTCGTCATGAGGGGATCTAGGTCATGTCGATCTCGGGATTTAGTGGCGCTACTGCAGGTGTACCAGACTGTTCAACATCTGGCAACGCAACAAGGGGAGTGGCTTTTTAACCACTCCAAGGCCACTTTCACACCATTCTCTTCGACATTGGACCCAGTCGACTGCCGGCACGCAGTAGGTCATGCGACAATACCGCTCTGCTGATTCACGTCGAATACACTGTACAGAATCCCGCTCGTCCTTCCGTGCAAGCCCTCAGCCTCGAATCTCCGACAGGCAGCATGCACCGAAGTTGAAGCTAGAGATGCAGTGTATACTGACAATGACAACGACAAGAGGAAAAGGGCGTTGGAGAGTCAAATAGGAAGAGGTAGAAAGAAACCCCCACGACATTCACCTCCCGCTCAACCTTGGTGGGCACTTAATAAGTGTACGTCTCCAGCACCGATAGTGTCGACACCCCCCACTCCCTCAAATGCGCAAGCGCTCTGATCGTGAGATCATTTTCAATCAATTGCGACCACAAACTCATACCGCCACGAGTGTGGAGAACCGTTGCGAGTGGGCATCCCACCGTTCAATACATACTACCCCTGATTCGCACGCCCGATGCGGGTACGAATGGAGAAAAGTGCGGCAGGAATGCTTCTTCGTGATCTTAATGCCTTCCTCCTACCGCAGAGAGGCATGGCAGAATGCACAAATCACATGTACGAGCGCTCGGCAACCCGGCCCACCGCCACATCAATCAACGCGACCCCATCGCAGCAGAGCGACAACCCATCGCAAGGAACTTGTTGCGCTGTCCGGCGTTTCCATCTCTGCACAATTGGCTTTGGCCTGACTTCTGTACCTCTTCATCACTTGCTGTCTTGTCTAAGCTCACGAACATATGGGCCCGGGATCTCGCCTTCTGGAACGTCCGTCGTCCTCGTTCGGAATCAGAGCGTCAATCTGCACTTCGTCCGGAAACCATGCAAACGCTGAAGACGATGCTGGAACTCTCGCATGAAGCATCCCATCTCTCACCAGCAGCTTCAAAAACATTTCCCCCCAAATCGGGAATTCTCACCCTTTCATCCATCTGCCTCAGCTCGCTCTCGGTTCCTCCGTCATGCCCCATGCGCCCTCCGTGACTTCCCCACCGTCTTCGATTCATGCCCAGAAAATGGTCGTCTCTTGGCTCAGCTTCGGTCGTTTGGCATTTGCCATCGAATCGCCAGGGCAGGGCAGACATTGCTCTCCCGCGACCGCCCAACACACACGGGGGTCGACAAACCACCCAACGGGTTTCGAATCATATGCCCATAGATTGCAAAAGAAAGAAAAAGAAAAATTCCGCAACCCGGTTCATTGGAGAAATTCGTTCCTACGCATCTCCCCATGCATGTCTAACTTGTTTCCAATTCCCAAAAGCAGCGCTTTCCAAATCGTCCACGTTCAGAATATCCGCCCCTGCATCGAGTAAAATCTGCCATACATAGTTCCTCAAACTCGTGGGCCAAGCCGGCGTGTCCCAATATCTCGCCTTCAAGCCCTTCTCCTTTGCTGTTCGGATCTGGCTCCGCAAGGTGTTGAGTTGTTTAGAAGAGAGTTTCCCGGCCAAGACTTTACCGATGGTCTTCTCGAGAGACACGCTTGCGTAGTATGAAGATGACGTGTTCCAGCTACTACTGCCTCTGGCGGCATCTGAAAGTCTGTCGAGAGGGGCGTCGAAGAACATATCGCGATGTATTTCTCCGATTTCGAGCTCGGTGGCGTTGAGACTGGTGGGAGCGTTACCGCTCAGGACTACGGTCACAGGGCGCGAATGGAAGTTCTGGCCGTCCCAGAAACTGAGATAGTTGCCCTCTCGCAGAGACTGCAGGCTGGCGTTCACGTATGGGAGCAAAGTGTTGCCGTCCTGTTTGAAATCCAGGAGAAGGACGAGAGTCTGGTTCGGTGCAGTGCCGAAGACGCCGGAGCAGGACGAATTGCCGTGGGAGCAGACCGTGGCGTTTGCATTCCTGATTCAAGGCAAGTCGATCAGCACTCTCTGAGTTGAGACCAGATTGACGGCACAGGACTTACTGCTGCTCGAGCAATGCCTTGATCGGTCGAAGATAGAGACTGTCTAAGGTCCTCTCCCGACGTAGAGAAGCCCCGTTGTGGCCGACGTAAAGGTCTGTGCCATTCTCACCCAAGGATTGGGGTAGCCAAATATCCGCCTCGACACTCGCACATCCAGCATGGAGAGCGTCGAATAGAGGGACGGTCCTCCAATAATCGTTGTGCGAGTGGCAAGGAATGGGAACGACGTTTTGTGTCGGCGCGCTCTGACACGCCGGTGAGTTGCAGGGGAGGAGACTCTGTCGGTGACTCCAATATGAAGCGCCCCAGTGATCTAGACTTGTGTGGCCAGCCGCCACGAGGATGATGTGAACGAGACCCCTAATGTACCAGTCAGAGGCTCGTTCAATGCGTCGCTTGTCGAGAGAACACGACTTACAGAATTGCAAGCAGTGTTAGTGGTAGAAATACGACGGATCTCCAAAGCCGTCGTCGTCGTCGATCTGAGGTCTTCGAAGACGCTTGACTTTCAGCATGGCCGAGCGAGTTCATGCTGCTGTCGGAGCCCAAGCGAATGTGCTCTGTTTGGTTGTTGCTCTTCGAACGCATCATGTACACAGATGCGGTTGGCTTGTTCAACAGCGAGTATCAGAAGATGATTGTAAGATGTGTCGAGTCTTCGGCAAAATCTGTCCCAGTGATGCAACAGCAGGATGCCTCCGTAAGATGCCTCCGCAAGATGCCTCTGCAAGATGAGGCCGGATTTGCCTTGAGTCTCAGCTATCGTAGACGCAGAGACAGAAAGGCTTCGTTCTGGTCACTGCCTGGCACTGGCGGGGTCGGGATGCCATCCAGCTTACTCGAGAGACCATGTTGCAGTTATCGTTTGGCGGTCAGTTATCGCAAGTAGGTGCACTAGCATGGTCTGCTAGTTTTCCGTTAAAGGCGCAAGATCGACAATCCTGGATGTCGTGAGCATTTGCTAGAAGATCTTCGCTCGCAACACGTGGGGGGCATAGCCGCGTTGGCTGTCGTACCAACAATGCACTTCTGTTGCATCATTTGAGGATTGTGATGCGACATATTGACTAAGTTTCTAAGAATTGCGGCACCTGGGGCATAGCCGCGTCGGCTGTCGTATCAACGCACTCGTTTTGCTGGATGCCTGGGATAGCGTCAGTTGAGGATTGCAATGCCGGCGACGTATTGACCGGAGTTTCTTCGAATGGCAGCACATGGGTTCAGCTCGCGAACGGACAGAGGGGACCCATCTGAGCCTTGGCAGATGTGAACGAAGGAATGTGTACCTGGAACAAGGCTGGGAAAGGAAATGTAATGAACAAACATCGCAGCCGATCCTACACTTCACCCGATAGGTGCCATCGGAGGCGTGCTTGCTCCTATAGGATGGATCATATGCCTGTCACGCAGGAGTGACGTACACGGCTGACGGCTGATTAGCTCAGCATTCACACTTACCTTCGGCAGCCCTCAGACTAGTTAGATACACTCAACAATGACACATACCATGTATTGAGACACCTTTTCTGTCTTACAAGTAGTAGCTAAGACTACTACGATTTGTCTATAAGTTGAAATTTTTTCAACCCCCTTATATAACTAAGGAGTACGGCACCCCGTACTACCGCGCGACATTCGAGGACCTCGCTGTCGACGTAGCGCTTCCGCCACGATATACTACTAGAGTCTCTTATAGTATATACTTATCTACCTACTAGCCGGCGTCTACTAGGGTATCCTAGACGAACGCTCGGTATCTACTATCCTTAAGGCTAGCCTTATAACTAACTCGTACCGGTCGGAGTACCTTCCTAACCGGAGCTAGTTAACAAACCCGGTAGACCTTCCTTAGAAGTAGCCCGGGATCCGGAGCGACTTCCCTTTCCTATAGATAGGTATACGCGTCTACTCGACGCCGCTACCTACCTAGATTAAAGAATAGGAGTTTCCTATCTTCGCCTCGTTACTACTTTAGCTAAGCCTAACCTGTCGCTATCGACAGTATAGCGAGCTAAGATTTATCGAACTTATTAAGCGGCCTCGCGGACGACGCGTCTACTCTAGATTACGCTACTACTAGGCTAGAGCTTACTACCTACTTTTACTATTAGGTCCTACTCCGCTCGTAATCGGCGGTTCGTAGACCCTAATATACTAACGGCTTATCGTAGCGTCTACTCTAGCTCCGAGGAACGTACTATTACTACCTACGGAGGATAATCTCCGCTAGATAAGCCGAGTTAAGTAATACCTTAGATCCTATAGCGGCGAGTACTAATTCGCGGATTTGGACGACGAGCTACTAGTCTATTTCCTAATCGACAGATACGGTAGACTACGAGACTTCGAAAAAGAGCCTACCTAGCGAAACGGTCGTAGTACTAGATCTACTCCCGCCCTAGTTACCGGATACCCTAATACTTAGGATACTAATAGGGACGCCTTTCTCTACGCTATTAACGTAGTGGTTCGAAAGTTTTAACTAGAGACTATAAGAACAGCGTACGCTACGTAGAAGGTAGCTAGCCTTATATCGCTAGTAGACACGCCTACCCTAAAGCTAACGAATAAGGCTATACCTAAGCTAGTAGCCTTAGTAGCCGCTCCTTCGCGAGTCTACCCGACTCTACCTCTCGGAACGCCGTAAGGAGAATCGACGCCGGCGCTTAGGAGAGCCCTCTCCGATTTATAGCTTATAAGTCGGTACTAACCGCTCGAGGAAAGCTAACTCCTTAAGGTAGAAAACAAGATCCGTAGCCTTAAGGACCGCTTTTAACGTATCTCCTAAGCTGCCGATTAGGTTAATTAGACCGTAGGCGACGCCTATCCTACAAGGAAGATACCTCTTTAAGTAGGCGTCTACCGCTCTAATAACTAAACCCTAGTCCTAGGCGACTACCCTAATAGTACCGACATCTCGGAAGTCGTCCCTAACGACGCGCTCTCCGAAGCCCTTAGGGGCACTAACCTTACTAGAGCTTAATAGTAGGCTATTATAGCGTCCTTCCGACCGGTTACGCTACCTAACGTAGTAAAGACAGCTTATAAGGGCAAGTAGCCCGAGTATTAAGCCCCCGCTTCGCTACTACCTAACGTATAAGCTCCCTAGCCTTACAGACCTACCCTAGTACTTATTAACTATACAGTCCTATCGGTAGTAGCCGTCTCTAAGAACGGTAGACGCCCCTCTTACCCCTTCTTACGAGACGAGTAGTAGCTTAAGGACGCCCGCGTACTCTACTAAGGCTTTACTAACGCTAGGGCTA